AAAACACTTAGTACTCTTTGCTGCTAACGGCACCAAAATAACAATGTATGGCACCAAACTCTTGACCATCAATTTAAAAATATGTCGCACCTTTACTTGGCCTCTTGTCTTGGCAGACGTCAATCAACCCATCATAGGTGTTACTTATAGATGTTAAAAACAACCATTTAATTGATGGACAAACAAAACTATATTCTTGTGGTAGACTTCCCAATGTGAACCCGCTCAGTACTAGCATTCATAATTTTGATGGGTAACTCAAAATTTGACAAAATTCTTGCCAATTACCACAGCTTGACCAATCCTTCACAAACTTTTGAGAGGGCACCAATGTCAACAATTTTCCATCACATTGAAACTAAAGGACCTCCTATTTTCTCAAAACCTAGAATATTATCTCTAGAATTACTTCAAGCTGTATGTCAAGAGTTTGACTTTCTCCTATCAAAAGGCATCATTCAGCCTTCAAAAAGCCCTTGGGCAAGCCCACTGCATATGCTACGTAAGGCAAATGGTGACTTCGCAACCATGCAGGGATTATTGTCGCTTAATGTGGTTACCACCCTGGATTGTTATCCCGTACCCCATATTCAGGATTGAACTCAAATGTTTTCAGGAATGAACTCTTAAAAGATTCACGTAAGAATGATAAATGTCCCATTCCTTGGAACGACGAACTGAATCAGGCATTTGAAAAATGTAAACACGACCTTATTAATGCTGCAACTCTCTCCTACCACTCTCCCAACCAAAAGCTGAGTATTATGGTTGATGCTTCTGACATTTCCATCGGAGCTGTCTTAAACATTCGCCACTCTAATAACTACCAGCTGCTAGGATTTTTCTCACATAAGCTATCCACCACCGAACAAAAATACAGCATATATGACAGAGAGTTATTAGCTATTTATGCAGCTATAAAATACTTCAGGCATAATTTCGAAGGTCAACACTTCACTATACTTACTGATCACCGACCTCTAACTCATGCATTCACATCAAAATCAAATTCTGCTTCCCCGAGACAAATTCGTCATTTAAATTACATAGCTCAGTTCAGCACAGATATTTAGCATATGTCAGGTTCCAGCAATGTCGTCACAGATACTCTCTCGCATATTCAAGGTATTGATGCCAATGCACTGCTGGATTTCACACTTATTGCCCACTCGTAAGCCACAGAGGAGGAGTTAAAACGTCTGAGTGAAGACTCAAACTGCTCATTGAAATTCCAGTCTTTACAACTTACTCGGGTTCTTCAACTATTGTGCGGTACCTCTAACAACAAACTTTGACCTTATGTACCACTTGACTTCAGAAAAAAAGTTTTTGACTGTTTCCACAACCTATCATGCTCAGGTATCCGAGCTTCCAAAAAGCTCATACAAGAAAGATTTGTTTGGCCATCCATGCTAAAGGACATTGCCAATTGGACTCGTTCCTGCATCATGTGCCAACGTTCGAAAGTTACCCGACACACTTATAGCCCTTTGGAAAAAATCGTGATGCCCTTGAACGATTCGACCATGTTCATATAGACATCGTCAGTCCTCTGCCACCATCTGACGTTTACCGATATCTACTCACCTGCGTTGACAGACTTACTCGTTGGCCTGAAGCTTTTCCCATTCAGGATATCTCTGCTGACTCTGTGGCTCCACAATTCATCTCCGGTTGGATTGCACGATTTAGTGTACCATCGACTACTGATCAAGGTCGACAATTCCAATCCCACCTTTTCGATTCTCTGACATCTATGCTTGGAATACGACGAATTCGCACTTCGCCATACTATCATTCTGCCTAGGCTTAGTGTAATGTTTCCATCGCAACCTAAAAGCAGCTCTAAAGTGCCATAATGACACCCATTGGACTACATCACTCCCTCTTGTGCTTCTTGGTTTACGTTCTTCCTTCAAGCAAGAGCTCGCAGGTACATCCGCTGAACTTGTCTATGGCACAGCCCTTCAATTACCATCTGAGTTCTTTCAGCCACCCTCTGCTCCAGTCGATCCAGCATCCTTTCTCCAGATTTTCCGAGAGGCGATGAAGAAGCCGTCTCCGACTCCTACATCATGCCACAACAAATCCACCCCATTCTTACACCATGCATTGAGCACTTGCACTCCTGTGTTTGTGCGAAATGACGTGGTAAAATCACCACTCATTCCTCCATACGACGGACCCTTCAAGTTCTGTGCACGTAACAATAAACATTTCACTGTTCTCATGCGCGACAAGGAAACCGTTCTGGGAATAGACAGACGATCCTCCTGCTTCCCCGGACCCAACTGTTTCTCCAGATGCTCCTCCTTCGATCGACCTTACGCTTCCTCCCAGTGCTTCACCAGTTGTCACACGATCGGGAAGATGTGTGTGCTTCAACACCAGATATTTGTGAACTGAATTTTTCATCGCATCTTTGGTACTCAGGGTGGAATACTGTGGAGAACTCTTTATTATTATTATTATTTGTCCACTGGCCCAAGAGAGGGTGCTACCAGCTTTCTCCCTCTTCTCCACTAGGGCAAAATTCAGACTGACTACTCTGTTCCTGGCTGCTGTCGGTGAAGCACGCACTCACCTCTCTTCCACTTCACTTTCATGATTTTTTAACTACGTGGACTTGCTAACTATAAAAATGCTTATCGTGAGAACTGTAATCATTGCGACTGTGTATCAGTGAACCTGTGTTAAAATATATACCTTTTTCTAGTATTAAATAAAAATGTTAATATTACTGAGCCAAGCTACCATCGTTATATCTACAGGAGCAACACACGCCACCAAAAATGGCATCCATAGACAAAAGCCACAATATCTTTCATAATCTACAAAACAGCAAAATGGCTATGGCTTAACCACTGTTAGTTAATACTAAAAAGGCCATTTTTTAAAGGAAGGTGGGAAAGTATGTCTATATTGATTATTTTATAAACAAGAAGCATATCCATAAAAAAGATAAACATAAACCACTACTTTGATAATGCCAGTATTTGCACATACGTATTTCAGCACTGAGTTATGGCTGGTGAAGATGAGGAGTCTGACCCTAGTTTAAACCCCAGTGAACGGGCTGGACGCTTTTTGTGGTTTCCTTCTCATATGTAACATAAATTTGAACTAGTTTCTATGGAATGTACACCATCTCTTCTTTTGGCTGATAGCCAAGAGCATACAGAGTTGGTCAGGGTGGTTATTTTGGCATAGCATGCAAGGGTTACCTGCCTAAGGAAAAGATAGCTTCATGAAGAATTTTTTAAGGAAAACTAGTTTACGTTCATATTAAACATGGGTAAAATCATAAAAATTGACATGCAGTCAGCGTTTTTGCTTCTGAATCTTCTGAATCTGTTTGAATTTGAATCTGGGTTGCACTACCAATGCTCAGTTATTTTATCACTCACTCGCTGCTGGGCTGAGAAATCAGTTCAATAGTACTAAAATTTGTTAAATATGATGGTGTTGACACTCCAGAAAACTGTATTTACAAACAATATTCAACTGAATGTACATTTCTATTTGCAATGATATTCAAATATAAGAAATAATTCAAACCTATATACAATTGATTCTCAATAAATAGGGGGTTAATTACCTGGATAGTGGGTTAATTGCAGACTGTGCGTGTGTGTATATATATGTGTAGTGTCAATGTTGAATACCAGATGGCATACAGATTGCTCATCGTATAATTCTTTTAATGTTTTATTTTTCGCTTTGTCAGTTGGCAATCAGATGAGTTGGACTCAAGATGCAGTAAAAGAACGACTACGATAAAAATGTAAATAAAAATGTATTGAAGAAGTTAATTCAGTTTATAACTAACATATTTGTTAAAAATGTAAATACTTTAAATGTAATTAAATGCACTGTCCTTTCAAGTAGTTTCTTAGATGTCTTTTTCAAGAAGGTATTACCACATATATATGTTTATGTATTGGGAAACAATTATCACTAACCATTAGCATAAAGCTAAATTGTCCATGGAAAGTACAATTATGATAAGGAAAAATGCACAGGATAAAAGCAGTGATAGCTAGGGTTGTCAACACTGTCAAATCACAGTAAAGGATACTACAAAATATATTTATTTATATTAATTCTGTTTTTATTAACATTGTAAACTGACAGAATAGAATTTCAAAATGTTCATGTGAATGATTAGCTGATTAGCTGAATATTGACGTTAAATATCATAAGAACAATAAATATATTTCAATAAATGCTGTGGTTTCTATAGAATCATCACCACTTAAGAGCAGTTTGAATAATTGTTTAGAAGAATCAGTTAATCTGAATGAAATAAGAAATTAACGAGAATGAGAATTTAATTTCAAAATAGACATTCAACATTTTTACTAAACTCAAAAAAGGACAAGGAAAGGAAGGCTGATTATAGGACAGCCCTTTGGGAAGGGGCAACATAGTAATAGCAGATGATGCCAAGAACAAACTCTGTTTTAAGAAAGTTCTGATAGACTTCTTTTAACTCAAGTTAGATCTCAATGATATTGTTCAAATTTTCTAGCAAATATTATTTTTAACGCCACTTATAACCTAGTTTTTTTCACTTCCAAAGATGTTTAGTTTTTCTTTATAAAGAGGGTGTTTTCTTGTTTTAAATATTGATTTAGTTTGAGTAATCAAACAAACCAAATGTCTAAATTATGAAAATATTGGTAAATTTTATGGTAATTTTATGTTAATTACAATGCGAGTTATTCTGCTATCTTATGTTTTTTCTCATAGTCCTGGAATTCATCATGGTTTTGAGTTAACTGTAGACATAATTCCCAGAACAGAAATAAAGAAAAGGAACATGCAAATGACACTGCACTTATCTTCCTCAAAATGGCTACAAGTTTTACTATGAATTATTGTCAATTAAAGACTGCAATTTTCCTCAGATAATTTAACATTACACTCATATTTCATAATTATAAAAAGTAATTTAAGGTGGTTAAAAGCAATTTCAGAAATGTAAATTTAAAATATACCTCAAAATCTGCATGCTTCAAAACATCATCTGCTCTCATGCGATTTAAAATGAATTCAGCTTCATTAGCAACTCGCACAATATGGTCTTTCATAGCATGAGAAAGAAGTCTGAAAAAACACAAAATGTAATAAAGCTTAATGAAGAAAATTCTAAATAAAAGTTTGCACGATTCTGAAAATATGAAAATTTACATACCTTCCTTCATTAATTAATTCAATAAAAGCTAGGCCTGCATGCTTTTGAAGTGAATTCTGCCATTCTTGAGAACATAACAACATAACAAGCTCTACTACTGAAGTACTATTTTTAAAAGTACAAAGACCTAATAAAAAACAGAAAAAATAAATATAATGATCAAATGACTGCCCCAAAACCTAATATCTTAAACTCTTAGTGCACTCAATTAAATTACCTTGGGTACAGAGCTAAATTTTTTCTGCATCCCCAAGTTAATATGCTCAAGATTTTTTTTTTTTCCAAATATAAATAAATACAACTGAATATATCTGATACAGTTTTGAGTGTCTTTGCCTTCACCCCAAAAAATCTGCCATTCACATGTATCAGCTGCTTGGTTTGCGCATGTATCTTTTTTACTGTTGTCAACACAAAAAGCATTATTTGCATTTTAGCAGGCTGCACTGAATCACAGCCAACAGGCTGTACTTTGCGACTGAATATTCATTTGTTATTTTTGGAATTTATTTTTACATAATTCTGTTATAGATAGTGATCAAGACTCATTAGATGATATCACATAATGGTAAATATTGAATAACAAATTTTTATTAGCATGACTTTTTTTTAATTGCCTGAATTAACTTAGCAGTATATGTAGTTTTGTCAACTAACCCCCCTCCCCCGCTCCAAAAAAAAATTATGACTTTCTTGTTTATAATTAAAAGAAAGAATAACAAAATTAGCAGAAAAACCACCATTCTCTGAATTTTTGTTGGTGCATTAAGGGTTCATTAATGAACAAAAAAGTAGTGTTCATAGCATATATTTAAATATATCTGTCGCAAGATACATACTACAGAAAGCTAGCGAAATAAAAGTTATAGAACTTTATAAAATTAATGCAAAACAACATTTACAGGAAAAATTTATGTAGTTAAAGAAAAAAACAATTTTAAAGTTATTGTTAACACATCAAACGTTAAAAATAATACTGATTATTGCAAATTATCCAATTTTGATTTTGAAATCAATTTTAATTGCGGATCATTTCCTAGTACTAAAATTCCCAAAGTCTGATATTAAACTATTTTATATTGATTTGAAAATAAACATGTAATATGTTAATAATAATGTTAGATTAATTTACGAATGTTTACCTTTTCCTTCCATAAGTAGATCTTGACCATGAGATCCTACTAACGTCCTGGATAAAAAGGGTGCAAAATCTAACATGATCTCCCGTAGTAATGGGCAAACACTACCAAGAGCAGATTCTAATTTCTGTGTGAGTGTTGCCTCTCTAGAAAGAGGTGAATTTAAAATATGAAAGTCGTCAGCACTGCCCAACGTAGTGATATGCAGATCATCAGGACGAGATTGCTGGCAGCCATCAACTGATTCAATAGTCCTTGAAAAACCATTTTGAGTAAGTGATGTTGACATTAATGTTGGATCTGAATTAGAAACACAGATAGAATTGTCTTTCCCTGCTGGTGCCAGGTTTGTAGAATCACTTTCTACATTTTTATCTGTAACTTCCCCATTAACTCTTGGACTACCATCTCCAGCACCATTGGTCAGTATTTCACTTCCATTTCTCAAATTATGATCACCTTTCGTTTTCTGTGTCCTGATTACCTGTAAAGAAATAGTCAAAAATAAATAACAAATATAACACACATTAATAAGGAAAAACTATCCAATTGAAAAATTACTCCTAGAATGCTCATTCATCTTCATGCACAACAGCTATTGAGAAACTGAGGTTCTTGTATTACATGCTTTATACATTACACACAGTATGATAAACACTCACCTTCATATTGTCCAACTACTTTTCAACACACTGCCAAAAATGCTTATGCATATGTCTTACTAAAGCATTAATTTGTAAACATCTTTTTAGTGAGCATTCGATTTATATTTTACCAACTACACACCATTCAATATTGCCACATCATGAGCATATAACCATTCTCTAAGTATCTTACAAAATCTTATAATAAACAGAAGTAAAACAAAAACTATTTCATATTTCACCATCTTTTTTAAATAAGTAACACAAAAAGGTGAATGTTGTTGCAAGTCAACCGCAGCATTTATGATCTGTGATGGAGTCCTTGCTCTTTTTAAAATGATGATATCATTTACAGACTTTTAATTTCACAACAAAAGAGGCATCATACATCTTTATTAGCATATCTATATTTGAAGCTGTTTATACTTAAACACTGAAACATTTATTGTTGCAACCCTGCATATGAAAATGCATGTTTCTTAAACTTTAAAATAAATATTGTTAACACAGCACAACATACTATCTGCATGTGCAGCTCAATCATCTTTCTACAGACCAAACTATTTTGGTTACAGTATCTCCTATAAAGTAAACAAAACGTAAACATAATGTTGTAATGCAGTAGAATCCCTTTTAACTGCCAGCAATCGAACCTTACTGATTCTGGATAAGAAAATCTTCAGGATAATTGAATATATATTTTTAGAACTTACTTGTTCAGATTTTGTGATACCATTTGTAGAAATCACAACATGCAAAATCCCTCGATCATATTTTTTTTTAATCTACTGAACACAATTAAACTAATAATGTCAAAAATCATACAGATTATTTAAAATAAAAGCATATGAACATGATTTTATATTTCAGAAAACAAAATTAGACAACATTTTAAAATAACCATATTTATTATCACATGAAAGTTATGAACTTCTTAATGTGACAGCATATGACTTTGAATGCCAGCCTGTTTGTAAGATTGTTGCTGTAATTTTAAAAATCTGCTGTGCATGCATTGAAGCTTCATGGCACCATGTACAGACACAGACCAACATTTCTTGTCAAAACTTATGAAAGTCTGCAATTCTTCGTCAGATCTTTCCACACAACTTTGGTGCTCCCTGTCTTGTCTTCATCTTTATTCTCCCTTTCCTTCTCCTCATCTTTCTCCCTTCCCAAGAATGTTCGATTATCCATTGTCCTCTTGACAAAGAGTGATGGAAATATAACTGTTTGCATTCACCCAAACCTTCTCCTCCTCTTAACTAATACTAAGCTTGTCTGAAAACGTATGTATATCCAATATATCAACCATGGATATCAAACATGCCTTAAGACCAAAAGAATGTTCATCAATCAACTGATCATCTATGAACATGATCACAGGTCATAATTTATGTCACTAACAGACAAAGTAACTATTGCATCTTTCAGTGTGAATTGTTTCTGAAAATATGGGCAGTACTTTCAAAGTTCACACACCAAAGCAAATTCATTTTCATATTCCAATATTCCAATTCCTTTGTTTGGACAAGGCTTGTTATACTGGCATTCAGAAGCATAACATAAATATCTGTCATATTTAAATCTTCAGATTGTTAGCCCATTATATATTTTTTATCTCTCAGGGCTTAATTTCAGATTTAAATTTAGACCTTCAAAAGTGCCATTATTTTCATACTGCCAGTTATGAGAGATTTCACCATGCATGATGGCCTTACATTTTTTTGATAAGCCATTTCAAATTATGAAATTTCATATTACACTTTGACTATTTCAGATAATAAATAATACATACATATGTTTAAAAAATAGCCACTAAGTTAATTCTATTACAAAATGGGACTTACAGTGGGCACAGGAGCTCCAGATGAATGTAGATGAGCTAGTATACTAGAATCTGTATCTTCAACAATAATAACTTCATCCTCTGCATCCTCATTACAAACATTACCAGATTCAGTCAGCCGCCCATTACTCCTGGATTCTGAATCAGTGGCTGAAAAGGAAAATCATACACAGAAATTAAAATTCCCATGTTTATTTACTGTACAAATTACATCTTGTCTTGTGCATGAATTAAGATGCTTATGAAGAAATATTAAATAGCATAGGCATTGTTATTCCTTTAGCATTTGCAATACAGCTGACAGATGCTCTTTGTTTAGAGTGCCAAAGTGACTTATAAAGGAATAATTAAAGCTTGAGAATAGTCCTGGCTCACTTCTTGTATCCCTTCAGAATGTATACTTTCTAACACTAATGGTCATAACAGTGGTGTTGGAGTAAAACACATCTGAGATTTGCATGGTTATAAATTTTGTCATCCTATAGTTGATTCTGCATATTTGTTTTTTACTTCTGCAAGCTGTTACAGCTAAAATTTTTTCAATGAATTTCAAAGATTCAAATCATGCTAAGAAGTTTTGACTACTAATGCACAGTGATCACCAGAATTATGACATGTACAGAAATTTAGCAAGGAATTAGGAAATTAAAATTAAAGTTAGAAGACGCCATGATAACATTTGCACAAGGGAAAGACAAATAAATTTGGAAAGAATGAAGATGACAGCAAAACAGTAATTTGTTTTACTTTGGAAACAACCATGAAAAGACAACACTACACCCAAAACTGTAAAATTGAATGTTCATGATATAGCAATTGCCTTGTCTGGAATGAAGTGTCTGTGTTAAGTCTTTTAATCTTTTCCAGTTTATTTTAAATACATCACTGTTTCAGCATGTTATCAAGTTCCTAAAATAAATGGTAATAACAACAGAACATGGAGTACATCCCAATACAGAACAAAATGTAGATGCACATTATGCTGTTCTAATTAAAATTATTAACTCAGACTGCTCAAATATTTCACAAAAATATTTTTAATTCTGAAAAATAATTTTAATCAATTAAAGCATAATTATCATTTTAAGTACTGATAAATGAGCCTGGGTTGTTTAAACACCACACAAGAACACTGCAAGCAACAATGTCTCAGTTTGGCTGTAAGTAACGAAACATTAAATATTCGACCATTTTTTTTTAAACATAAAATTACAAAATATATTTTCAGCTATGTGTTCAGTTCTACAGCTACATCATAATCCTAAAAATTATTAGAGATAAAAGAAATTACTATAAGCAAAATAAGAAATATCATCATGAACAAATCACTGTTCATAAATATCATATTGACTTGTGTAATCTTCCCCATCTTTTTCACTACTTTTACCACTGGAAACCAAGATATGAAAGTTACATAATGTTTATCATTTTTAAGGGGATAAATAAAACAAGAAGAATCTAAATGATATATGCATATATAAATAGACTATATATTAGCAGAATGCAAACCATTGCATGTGTGGGAGGAGGGGGAATGAATACATATGAATGCTTAATCAGCTGATGTTTTGCATATTCTTTTCCATCCTTCACAATAATGTGGAAAAAAATCAATTTACGTAGGGGTACCTCAAAATACCTGGAATTATAAAACCACACACAAGTGATTCATAATTATAGATCATCTTGATGAGTAAAAAGGTTGGTTCTCGATGCTTGCAGTGTTCTGCACCTTTTGTGATGAATATAAAGATCAATACATATGCAAGAATACATATATACAGTCAAAAGACTTTCATCCGGAATGATCTATAATCCGGACCACAAAGCTACAAACTTTCTGCGCATGTGTAATACATTTACGTTTACGCATGCACATAATACGTTTATGCATGCGTAATTAATGTATAACGGACAGTATAAGCTAAGCTAAATTATCTAATTATCTATTTCAGTTAATGTTGCAGATTGCGTTGTTCCTTAATCTTCGAATTGGATCCGGCTTATTATTTTTTGCAGACTGTTAGAGCAATTTTATAAAAGTAAGCTTGAACTTTCGATTATGTCAAAAAGAATTTCCGATTCTGGAGCTGCCAAAGGATCTACAAAGCGAAAGCATGTTTCGATGTCCATCAAACAAAAAGTGGAATTGCTGCAAAAAATGGATAAAGGCATATCCTTTGTTTCTCTAACCATTCCCGAAATCTGTTTATCAATTTCACACTGCTCTGTGCGGGGGGGGGGGGGGACGTCGCGGCGCGCAATGAACTGGAAGTTGATCTGTCAGCACTATCCTTATCTTCAGGGCAGATGTTTTTATTTTATTCGGCTTATAATTCCTTACTAAATGTAGTATTTCATCTCGATGTACTCCGTCTTTGATATGATTTAAATCAAATTCCTCGTCATTATAAATATCACGAATACACATCAAATAGTTTTCTGGTTGCAATTTTCTAATTTCGACTATGCGTAATGTATGCTTTACGCATGCGCGCGTTGAAAGAAATGTTTAATAAAGTAAACAAATAAATATTAAGCTTTTTTTTTGTAAATTTTGATACCCTTTAGATCATAATTGCTCTTTATTTCATAAATTACGGTTTCATATTTTTAATTTTATAATTTCTGCATGCCATCTTACCAGATTTAAACTGATGATCTATAATCCGGAATCGCGAAGTCCGACGAGTCCGATTAAGACTTTTGACTATTTATTTTTTAGCTGCAGGAGGTTATTAGATTCGCACCTTAAAATATCTTGAGAAATTATATGGTTCTAGAAGTTCTTGAGTACCTTGACTTATGCCATTTATAATAAATTTATTTTAAAATTATGAGCAGATGGTAAATGATATCTTTTTGTAAAGCAATTCCTAAATGAAGGTAAAATGAACTAGCTTAAAAAACTGCACAATTTGTATAATACATTCTATTTTAAAATTGAGCAAGTAGTAAATGATAACTTTTTTTTTAACTAAACATTTCCTACAAAAGATAAATTAAAAGTACCTTAAAAGCTGAAATATAAGAAGCTGATAAGAAAAATGACAAAATTAGAAATTCCATTGTTATACTTTATATATGCGTCTATCTTTATATATAATATTGCTTTGCATTTTGCTGCATAATATGGCTTGTTTATTTGGTAGCGTATTACATTTAAATTATAAGTCCCTAATTTAATATATAACTGCAGTAATTTTATGCTTATTTTTGCTGCATTTTTGCAAACTTTATTATTACTTTCTACTTATACATTTAACTGCTTTATGATTTCGTTGTACTTTTAATTTTGAAGAAACAAACAATGGAATTACAAAAATAAAAAGAACCACAGAATGTAGTTTTTTTTAACACCAGCCAAACCTAGACAATCAGTTTTTGCTGCCAAGCTGGCCTATTTGGCAACTTCTCTCTAACCTGGTGTCATTTGAAAAGTTTTTCAGGGGGTAGGGGGGACTGAAATGCTAAGAAATTATTTCTAGAAAATTCTACTCATACAACTTGTAGCCTTTTGGCTATACAGGACTTGAGAAGAACCATAAGTCCTTTTCAGTTAGTCTGTTAGTTTGGTAGATTTTATATAAACAATTATTTTTAATCTTTGCTCAATAAGGAATTTTGTAACTTGCAATACTTATCTTTATTACACTCATGTCCATAAATTAAGGATAATGCAAAATCATGCAACGGAAGAGTTAGAAGCAAAACAAATTTGACTTATTTGTAAAGCTTATTTATTAAACAAAAGGTAAAGAGCAAAAACAGATGCTATATGTTTGATATTATTAAAAAAATTAGCGATTTTTTTTCTCCCTGGAGCAAATTACCAAAAAAAAAAAAAAAAAAAAAAACTTATTTACAAAAAACCAATATTACATGGTTGGTTTGATTGTTAATACATTGTATGTCTCCCAGACGATGCAATACAGTCCGTACAACGCCTAGGCATCTGAGTATCAAATTATCGATCTGATCTTGGGGGATATTACATCACTCAAAAAGCAATGCACTCCGAAGTTCCGGTAGACATGTAGAAGGAGGTTGACGGGCTGCAACTCGTCGGCCAAGCATGTCCCACACGTGTTCTACTGGTTCAAGTCTGGTGAGAATGCTGGCCAGTCTGTACGGGTGATATCCTCCGATTGAAGGCATTCGCTTACGATATTTGCACGGTGAGGACTGGCGTTGTCATCCATAAACAAATTGTGTGCCCATGGCACCCCGAAACAAATGTACATGTTGTTCCAGAATGACGTCCCGATAGATATGGCTTGTCATGATTCCAATTTGAACATGAAGGTCAGTTCTGGAACCCAGAATAATTCCACCCCAAACGAGCACTCCTACACCACCGTAACGGTGTCGTTCAATGATGCTTTCTTGGTGGTAACGAATACCTGGAGCTCTCCATATGAAAGTCCGGCGAGAATCAGACTGCAAGCTAAACCTGGACTCGTCGGAAAACATCACACAAGCCCACTGTTGCGGTGTCCACAGTGCATGCTCTCTACTCCAGGCTAACCGCAGGCGACAGTGAGTTGCAGTAAGTGGAACGCATCTGACAGGTCTACGAACATATAAACCAATCTGCCCTAAGCGTCTGTACACGGTCTGCCTTGAAATTGTCGTACCAGTGGCTGAAGAGAGCTGACGAGGCAGGTCTCAGGCTGTGCTCCACCTGTTTGTTTTGGCAGTAACTGCCAAATACCGGTCCTTATTCGGCGCTGTAACTCTGGGGCGACCTGTGCTGTAACGTCTACTCACATTACCATCATCTGGGAATCGTTGCCAAAGCCTGGAGATGACACTCTGGGCAATTCCAAGTTTGTCTGATACTTCCAGTTGGGTACGCCCACATTCCAGACGGCCGATAATTCTACCACGTAAAAAATCATCCAAATGCGTCCTTTGTCGGTTATTGCACTGAAATGCTTATAAAGTGCCTGCGAACAATTTTACTTCTTTGCCTGTATTCGTTATATATCACTTTCTTACATTCTCGTCATTGTGAAGTACCATCGGTGTCATCTGGTTACTTCCTAAAATTTGCATATGATTCTTGAAGATGTGTGTTGTGATGTTACAGGTGATATTATAGTATATTTTAGAGTTCGATTTCCGCGTGACTCCGAATTATCCTTAATTTGTGGACATGAGTGTATTTTATCACAGGCATTTACTTTAAAAAAATGATTTCAAAACTATACGCATTTTGAGCAATTTTTTTGCCATTTTTCCTGCTATCGGTTGAAAACAAGGATACCATTTTAAGCTTCTATAAAGGTTAAATTCTTCATTTTTATCTGGGTCAGTTATGTAAATTTTTACAAACTCATAACATGCAACAGCATTTAATTAAAAGATTTAAATTTCTTCTCAAGAATTAACCTTCTAATACTTTTTTGAGAGTGTTCTGATTTCACTGCAAGAAATGTTGATTTTTATGCCAAATATATATATATATATATATAATTAAACAAATAATCATAAAAATAATTTTTAATTGCAACAAATGTTAATTGTTGACAAGTATTAAATAGCAGCTTTCAGCAATGGCCAGTTCTCGACAAGTACACTTCTATCACAATTCTGAATTCTGCTTTACTAAATGATTTAAAGAAAAAAAAATCTAAGCATCTTGAAAATGGAATTTATATTTACCTAACATATAATTTTTTATGATATTTAACATAATTACACACATATCTTATTCAATTACACACATATAATATTACTTCTGATTGGAAATGTGTGCATATTGATAGGCGTGCTCTAGGGAGTTTAATTTTCCCAAAGATGTGACTTTCATATAACTTTATTTATGTAAATTTAAGTTTCAGATGACTAATGTATGTATGTTTTATATGACTTGCTTTTGTAATGACAAAATTTTTGTTTAACAAATTACGTGAAGAAATTGTTTATTTTGAAGAACGAAACATGAAAAATCAATGCCCTCCCTCCTTTGATATCAAACTTCAGACCTCTTAATTGTTAGTTGGAGTGCTTTCAATTACATCACAAAGGCCTGTCATAAGGTAGAAAAAGTACCTTATAAAAGTAACTTCCCCATTAGTAATAAATTGTCATAAATATTGCAAAGGGAAAGAAAAAAATTAAAGTAACACCTGTCTGAGATGTAGATGAAGACACTGAAGGTACTGAAGAAGTGCAATGAGTTGCTTCAGCAGTTACTGCAGGACGAGAATATGAAGATGCTGGTGGAGGTGGAGGTTCTAATATATCACGATATTTAGAAACCATCAACACAGATATGAAGTAAACTACAGCCAATGCTAAAAATTGAGCTTGTTTAGTTTCATCCTGAAAAAAGAAATAATAAAATCATTATCCACAAAAATTGGATTTTCTTTCAAAAAATGGCACAAAAATAAAATACAAATATACACATTTTTCCACCACATTAATTAAATTCTGTAAAGAGGGGGAAAAAACATTACCACATCTCTGTAAATAACTGCTCTCAAACGATTAACATCCATATCTTGAAGGAGTTTTTCAGGATCACGAATAGGACTGCTCTGTCCCCCAAGGTTCTCCACAATATTCTAAAATAAAATAATGTTAAATAAATATGCAGTAAAAAGATTAAACAGATATTTTCAGACATGAATAATAGATAATAATAACATACATAAAAGCATAAATCAGTGTAACATTGAATATATTTTATACATCAATAAATAATATTTATTATTTCATACAAGACAAAACACAGTAGCACTACAGAAAAATGAAATATATTATTGTTATTCAACCACACTATAAAATTATAGCTGCATAAATTGCTACAAATTTAATGAGATTTGGCTAAGAGAATAAAAACTTTGCACACAGTTATATGCAACAACAAAATACTACCCTAGTTTGCAAATACTCAGTATAAAATTGCAGTTCAGAAGTATAACTTTTATGAATTTATATAATATTTTATGAATTTATATAATTATTTAATGAATGTATATTATATTGAATGAATATTCTTATATAAATATTTGAAAGAGACAAATAAAATAAGGATTAATAACATTAAAAGTGTTTAAGGCAGATTGATAACTCAGTTTAAATGAATATCACAATAAATTTGTTGCATTTTCTCCCTTGTGTGTGCATGCACAACTATTTTAATATTCCACAATTTTTTTCTTTCCCCCTTTTTTCTCTCTAAATTATACATGAATTATTCAAATTTTTCACATTATGTAGTGGTTTTGGCGAAATACTGATTTCAGTTGTACTCTGCAATTTATTACAGATAACACAAAACATTATAACTTTTAGGAGCTATTCATGAAAAGTTCATGAAATATACAACAATTGACAATAAGCGTCATGAATGTGTAAAGGCTGTCAGTCATGCCATTCAGAGGATTAAGTACATTAATAGCACATTTATGATAAATTTAAGAGAGTAATCTGGTTTATCCTTAAAAAGCACACTAAAAAAACAATAAGAACTTCACTATTCACTGTCTGAATGAACATGCAAAAACGTGAAAAAAAGAAGGCTTCAATTAGTAATACATGCATGCTTGTAGAAACAAAATAATAAGCTACATCAATACAACAAAAAAAGCAGAAGTATTTCATACAAAATCAACCTTGGCAGATGGCTGCACCCCTCCAATCAAAGCTTGAATAGGTGATGGACGAGGAACATCCCTTGACATGTTGTTACTTGGGTGAGGAATTACAGGTGTCTGAGGTAGGCTTCTTTCTCTACATTCCAAACAATTCCGCACGGCAGAAGTACAAACTATTGTAAAACAACAACAATAATAATAGTACACATAAAATTGCACAATATTTACTTTCAAATGTTTCAAAAGGAAAGGCTCACAAAATCTTTTCAAAAGATGCTGTAAAAATGGTAGTGTGAATAAAATAAGCCTAGGAATAGAGCAAGGTTTTTATGGGCTGAATTGAAAGCAAGGTCAAAAGAGGCAGAAAAATACATTCTGAGTACTTCAGATTACTGTCTATCATTTTGAAAAGCTTAACCAATACATTTTTTAAATATATAGAACAGTATTATAGATTTAAGAAATATCATAATCATTAGATTAAAAAAATGCACTTTAATATGCAGTTTTCAGTTTATCACCCGAAACAGTTTTACAGTAATCAATTACAACAGTCCAAGTAATTTAAGAATTAGTGATCCAAAAATTAAAGACGCAGAGCATAAAGTCTTATATTTCAAATTAGCTGCTCAAAATGTTTAAAGGGAGAAGGCTGAAAAGAAAGATCTGGTGTGTTAATGTTTCATCACAATTAATATCACATGAAGATTTATACATTTATTTAATAATGAAAGCTTAATTATTAAAGTTGCAGTTGTGTATTTACTTCACTAAATGACTTCTGCATAAAGGCTGAAATAAATACATACAGGGTGTTTCATATTGAATGGGACAAAATGAAAATGCACATATGAATGCTGTATTTACCTTTTTTTTTTTTTTTTTTTTTTTGATAAATTCAAATTTACTATGAAACTATAGTTATCCATGTTTCTATAAATGTTCTATGTGTGCCACTTTGGGGACATGGGAAATATCCATGTGGTATTCCAGTTCCTGGCACACTCGTAATAAAATATCCTTTGTTAATTATTTGAGAATTCAGTTATCCACTGCTCTGGTTGCTGCAAGTCCTGGGGAAATGGAGGCATGAACACTTTGTCTTTACTGAAACTCCACAGAAAAAATCACAAGAGGTTAGATCTGGGAATCTTGGTGGCCAACAAAGCAATCACATATCGTTTGACCCAGCATGGTCAATCCAGTGACGGGGTATACTATTGTTCAGGTACTGGCATATGTTTTTATGCCAATGTGGTGGAGCATGGTCTTGCTGCAGAATAAAGCCGGGAACCATTTCCTCTAACTAAGGAAACAACCACTCTGATTGCATTCCTTGGTAAATGCGTCTGTTCATAATTTTTTTCCACAAAGAAAAAAAGGACCAAAAACACAACTGTTAGAAATGGCACAGAAAATGCTCATTTTTGGAGAATCACTTTCATGTTCCTATTACACCATGTCGATTTTCAGCACCCCCAAAAATCGTAATTTATGGTGATTACCTTTGCCAGAAATTCTTTATAAAATTTCATGTGAAAATTTCTTTCAACAATGATGTTTTTGCATATTGCAAAACACAGTCCTGTTTCTCCTGTATGGATGGTGGCATCTTGACTAACAGTGATTGAAGAAGCAATTTCATAACCAAAAGAATTTTGCTGTTGCCAGATAAAACTTGTACAATTACAGTTTCAGAATTAATTAGTTTTAACTTAAAAAATCAATTACAGAATTTGTACAATGTTATTCTTTCAGTCCCATTCATTATGAAACACCCTTATTTCTCTCAAATGGTAATATTTCTTATTTTTCCACATTTCCAAATCTGCAAGCTAAAAATAATGAGCACCTTTGAGACGTCCCATTTCAGGTGATGAATAAAAAAATTAACTAAATAGACACATGCACACATGGAAAAATGGAATTGGAGAAAAAGAAAAATTTCTCTATTTAAAGCTTGAACAGAAGGAAAGTCATTTTGTCACTTTAAGTAAGATTAATCACTGATATTTTCCAATTTTAAAATTTACTTAGAAAAATGGACAGGTTCCTTGATTCATACATCATTCCAACACAAATGTTCATTTTTTTTTAATTATTGAATGATTTCACTAGGTTTGATCAGAAAAATGTAATATTTTAGTGTAAATTTTAAAATCTCAAGATGTTATGGATTGACAGTGAACTAAAGTTTGAGTTAGATTCTTTCCATAAAATTCTGTGCCTTATGTTTAGAAACTCTGTAGATGAAAAAACAAGACTTAGCTCCTTTGTATTTACAGAAATAATAGCCACAATACTTTCTTATTATCACAACCCTACAATAAATTTCCAGTGCATGTTGCACATCATCACTAAACAGCTGGGAGTCCTAACTGGGATCACATAAGTCCACCTTTTTATAAGAAGAGCTCTGAATAGGCCATGCATTATTGTATATTTCTATCATATTCCCTGCTTAAAAATGTTAAAATTTTTTATGTTCCAAGGAGTGAAAATATGCTTTACCACTCTTCCGGAAAAAAAAAAAAAAAAAAAAAAAAAAAAAAAAAAAAAAAAAAAAAGGCTTTTTTGCACAAAAATGGTACAGTTTTGAGGCAATGCAAAAATTGCCACAAAACTGTATATCAACAAAAGCCTTTGAAACAAAAGGAAAGCATGTGGTCTGAAAATTGATTCGGTGTTTCCAGAATATCAGAACTGGGACCAAAAAAATACTTTTGATCCTAAGCAGTTCTGGAAATATGGCAGCTACAGATAATATGTGAGAAATTAAACACGTTTCCTTTGCCAGTTCTTAAATTTTTGTAGTTTAAATTTTGGCAATAACCTTGCTGACATTTGAATAATGAAGGCTATAAGATACTTCACAGCTACCTCCCTCTAACATTTTGTATATTTACAGAGAGAAATATATGTATATGTGTATGCTGCTTGAGAATACTCGAAATTATGATGTATCGAATCCCATTATAACTGGAAAATACTGTACGGCTATTTTACTCAAAAAATATATTTTTAATATTTCAAGAATTTGACCACATCACATATCACATAAGTAATGTTTTAGTCTAAGTAAGAGACATTTCACATTGCATATAAAAATTTTATTCAGCTTTTAGCTTCTTTCTTTTTAAAATTTTTATTTATACGTTACCTAATCTAAGACACTGCCTCAGTATTCCTCCACTGGACATATTCTTTTCAGCTTCCAATTCACTGAAACTTAATGATGATGCAAAGACTAGAACATCTGTCATATTAACAAGCCGCTGAAGAAAAGCTACAGCAACTTCAATTGACATGCCTTGGGTGGGTTCAATAACATCAAGTTCATGCTATATACATAAATACATAAAATATAAATAAAAGCATGACAAAAATGTCAAGTTTGCAATATGATTTAAATATTCAAAACTGAAATTTTCACATTTCATACAAAAATAGGCTATGGAGATTTTATATGGAAAATTTAACAAATTACTCTATATAATTGCATTAAAAAAAAAAAAAAAAAAAAAAAAAAAAAAAAGGCAAACTATTAATAAATTTCCAATAAGCAAACTAAAAGTTACAATGCTTCTTCAAAGTGTTTTTTTTTGGGGGGGGGATATAAGTTCTGGAATGCAACAAAAAGACATGGCACAAAGTCACCCTCCTTTGTCTAACCAAGCGTACAACCAATTTTGATGCTACATAATCATTTCTTATAAAAGGGAATGAAGAAAATCTGTGTTCATACAGCATCATATATAAAGACACAATCCATTTAAATGGCAATCTTAATCTAATAGAAGTGTTAAATATATTTCCAGAAATTCAACTGGTTTACAAATACAAATTTCAGTTAAATATATATATCCTTTTTCTTTAATTGCGTACCATATATTTACATTATTACTCCATTTTTGTTATTTTTCTTATGCAACTCTCCCTAAAATTTTAACTAAAATCTTGAACATAAGATCTTTTGCAAAGCTATTTATATAAATCATTGGCCACAAAAGTTTTGATAAATTTTCTCTATCTGATCCTATGACTTTGTTTTCATATGACAAAATTATTTTCTTAATTATAATTAATGGTAGAAAGTCTAAAAAACAATATTTATTTTCAAGTTAATAAGCAAGACTTTAATTTTTTCACATCAATGCAGCTAGTACACTGAATATAAACTGGCAAGCCAAAATATTATGACCATTCCCACATTTTTCAATGAACTCGTCTGAATGACATGGAGGGCACACGATTAGGTGGGAATAGTATTTAACTGCCGCTGGAGAAGGTAAACAGAAATTCTGGCACCTACTTCTGTGAGTGGTGGGAAAGGTTGCTGATGTAAGTGAATTTGATAGAGTGCAGATTATAATGGCCTGAAGACTTGAAGCAAATATTTCTGAAATTGCATGACTGGTAGGTTGTTCTCGATCTGCCGTTATTAGTATTTATGCAATGTGGATAAATGTTAGTGAAACCAGTAGGATGTCTAGGCATCATCAAAGAAAAAGAAGGCGGAGATTGTCCCACTTGGTACAGCAAAATCGGTGCCAGGCATAGACTTAACTGACAGCCAAAACAATGCAGGTCCAAGTGGAAGTGTTTTGGAACAAAAGACTGCATAGCAGATGTCCTACTCATGTGCCTCTGTTGACCAAGTTGCATTATGAATTACACTTACAGTGAGCACGTGAACTTGAAGACTGGATCATGGGTAAGTGGAAGACAGTTGTTGGTTGGATGAATCATGATTTCTCATTCATCACGTCGATGGTCATGTCAGGGTGCACAGCCTTACAGGTGCACAGTTGCTCGCTCCCTGTACAGCAAGTCATGCAAATGCTGGTGCTGATGGTGTGTTATGCTTTGAAAACGTTCTAATGGGTGGCTCTGTGACCCTTAGTTGTGGTAGAACAGATCATGAAAGCTGCAAACTATCTGAACATAATTGTGAATCATTTGCACCCTTACATGGCATCAGTCTTCTGAAATGGAATCTTCCAGCAGGACAATGTCCCTTGCCACAAGGCTTGAATTGTGCTGGAGTGGTTCGAGGAGCATAATGATAAGTTCCAATTAATGTTCTGCCCATCTAACTCATAAGACCTTAATCTGATAGAGAACGTTTTGAATGTCTTGGAGCAGCAGCTCAGAACTCAAACACCACCATATCGGAATATCTTGACTTTGTGTGACCGCTGCTCAAACATTTGGCACAACCTACCTCCAGTTATCTACCAAGAACTTGCAGCATCCATGCCAAGGCGAGTTGCTGCTGTTTTACAGGCCAAGGGCCTCACAATGCATTACTGAGTTGTTTTGGTTCTGGAGTATACACAAAATAAAGTACAAGTCTATCCAGATAGCTTGGGAAATGCTGAATGCTGGATAGGTTAAAATTCTGGATAGTCAAATATAGAAAAAAATGCTAAGCAGGAAAGCCTTGGAAGGGAAAGAGAAATGTCCAGTCTAAAATTATAAAAACAGTCAGCTTACCTGTTATCTAGTGAAAGCTTGACATATTTGGTTGGAGTGCAATGCTACTAACAATATGTTTTTTTTTTTTTTTTTTTTTTTTTTTACAGAATAGCGAGAAGACGGAAAGAATTAGATTTGGAAGAAATTCAGCTAACATAACAAATTGCACTTTTTCTTAACTAATTTGATTTAGCTTATTATTTTTGCAGGTTATTATTACTACAACTATCTTATCCAAGTTTGAATTTTTCATTAGGTTGAAAACATAATTTTGGAGCAGTAGTAGGATCTGCAAAAGGAAGAAGGAAGAGCATAATTTGCTACATTAACTGAATTTCACTTTCCAGGAATTTATTTATTTTTTCCTTATTTGCCAGCGCTCCAAGCAAAAGGAAACCAGTATAAGCAACATCTCACTCGAAATAAATAACTCTTGGGTCTTATTTGGGTTAGGCAGTAAAATGTTAATTTCCTTCTGCCAAAAATCACTCAAGGACCAAAAGTTGGCTCTGGTCACCATCAGTCAATGTATGGTTATTACTCAGACTGTGATTCCATGGCCAAAAGGTGTTTGAAGGTGGCATGCAGGAATCTCAGTTAGTCTCAGAGAAAAACTGCTTTAAAGGCACACCTTTTCCTTAAATATTAGATTTTCCATTACTACATTATTCTAACAGAGGCATTTTCTCACTCTGTTTCTTTTTCCCTGGTGCTCACAGGGTTCAGACATTAGATCATTCCAGATACTGAAGACCAGATTTCAGATTTTGAATTCCACCAATGAAAAACATAACAACAGTCACCAGGAATTCAAACTGAGAACATCTCATCTGAAACATTATGCATTACCAATCAGGGTACTGATGCTAGCAGCATATGAAATTTAAAGAACATGTGAATACTACTTAAAAATTTAGGCTGGATTTTCTTGCTCGTTTTCCAATGCTAAACATTACACACTTTCAAATTTATTTACTTTTAAATCCTCTAAAGTTACATGAAGTTTAAGGGAAATATGTGAACCCAAGGTCACAAACTTCCCTTATCAGATGTCCAATTAACAGATTATTTATAGCTACTGCATATTTGTAATAAATAACAATATATTACCATCATATTACCCAATGAAAATAGAATGAACTTTCAGCACTGCAGTCAAATAAGAGTAGATATTCTCTCTATAGTTTTTCAAATCTTGAAAATACGATCACTCCTCATATCAACTTTCCATCCAGATACGACTCTTTACAGTTAATATATTTTAATTCCCTAATATTTTAACGTTAGATACTAAGATTAAAAAGCTGTTGTAATGATTATATTTTATAAAAATAATGACAAGTCAATAACTGTTTCAAACAGAAATAAGTATAACTATTAATTTCCATTAACCTGGGCTGTACAGCATTAGAAAGAAAAGAGATTGCAGATTGGCAATATCAAAATTGTATATTCATCTGAGAAATCTGCAGCAATGATAAAATATAATAAGTGAAATCAGCCATTCTACATAATATCAGTGTCATTTGAGTAGTCTGTAGACAATGCTCAACAAATTTTCATACATATCTGCTCTTCAAACATATAAAACTAAGATTTAATGATGTGTTGCATGAAACCACTTAGTAACACAATCAGTTTCTGTCAACACTTCTTACAGTAAGTAAATGAATACCAAAGAGTACTTAGGTTTATTTTGATTTACCTGGTATTTTTAAACAAATAAAATTTTTCGTCTATCACAATCCATGCATACTTCATAAAAAAACCTCTTTCAGTTCATAAGGAGTGGCAAACAGTAAGTTTGTTTACTAATAGGCAACTTCACAATTCTTGAATTTATTCATCAAAGTAAAAAGAAAAAAAAAATTCAACAATGAAAATACTATGACCTTTAAATTTATTTTCGTTCAAATTTCCTAATCAAAATCATATGCCTAGCCAGGTCATTCTATCTTTTCTAGTGTGACAAGTTATATTGGAAGCATTTGAAATTCTAAGCATTAAACAAGTGAAATGTTAACTTCAACTAAAAAACTGATGAAATTCCCAGAGAAAATACCGAAGACAGTAATAACAATTGTAAGAAACATACTTACTTAAACTGATGCCCTTGATAAAAACTACACTTACAATAACCCCCCCCAAAAAAAAGAACCTAAAGTTTTTTTTAATACAGTCAAAAGTCTTTAATCTGGACATCCATAATCTGGAATGATCTATAATCCAGACCTCAAAGCTACAAAATTTCTGTGCATGCGTAAACGCATGCGTTTACGCATGTGCATTTAATGTATAGCAGACAGTATAAGCCAAGCTAAAATTATCTAATTATCTATTTCAGTTAATGTTGCAGATTGCAGTGTTCTTTAATCTTCGAATTGGATCCGGCTTATTATTTTTTGCAGACTGTTAGAGCAATTTTATAAAAGTAAGCTTGAACTTTTGATTATGTCAAAAAGAATTTCCGATTCTGGAGCTCCCAAAGGATCTACAAAGCGAAAGAATGTTTCAATGTCCATCAAACAAAAAGTGGAATTACTGCTAAAAATGGATAAAGGCATATCCTTTGCTTCTCTAACCATTCCGAAATCTGTTTATCAATTTCACACTGCTCTGTGGAGGGGAACGTAATGGCGCGCAATGAACTGGAAGTTGATCTGTCAGCACTATCCTTATCTTCATGGCAGATGATTTTATTTCATTCGGCTCCTAATTCCTTACTAAATGTAGTATTTCATCTCAATGTACTCTGATATGATTTAAATCAAATTCCTCGTCATTATAAATATCATGAATACACACCAAATAGTTTTCTGGTTGCAATTTTCTACTTTCGACTAATGTATGCTTTACTCATGCGCGCGTTGAAAGAAATGTTTAGTAAAGTAAACAAATAAATATTAAGCCCCCCCTTTTTTTTTTCTTTTTGGGGTAAAATTTGATACCCTTTAGATAATAATTGCTCTTTATTTCATAAATTACAGTTTCATATTTTTAATTTTATAATTTCTGCATGCCATCTTACCAGATTTAAATTGACGATCTATAATCCCGAAAAACCGATAATCCGGAATCACCGAAGTCCCGACGAGTCCGGATTAAAGACTTTTGACTATATAAAAATATATAACTTGCAAATTCCATCAACTAGAATCCGAATTGTTTATCAATGTTTTTTATTCTTTCTTTGGTTATGAGTTGAATTCTATGCTTCCTCTTCAATTGGTTTTTTCAAGAAAAAACTACAATGGAAGCCAACCCAATAGGGGAAAAAAAAAAAGAAAACATGAGAAAATGACTCGCTGTTTGGATTCAGGTTGATAACGTGAACAGATTGTTCATGAAAGCTCTAATTTTTACCGAACTCTTAACATAGTTATAATGTGTTTATCAATTTATTTATTTTGATATTTAAACTACTACTTTATTACTTGCATATTTAAAGTATGTATGCAAGTTAATACTCAAGACAACTTAAAGATGTTATTTTCAAACAATAGAAATTTTATTTAAGTATGAATTGATTAATTAAATATATTTATGTGTATTCTGTGGTCATAATTGTTGAAAAATTAATATAAAAAGCATTTATGATTAAATATTTTAAAATCATCAAATTCAATAATAAAACCTGTTACTAAACAATAAAAATACTTCACTTTGATATTTGAGAATGACACTATAATTTTCTCATGCATTTTTGTAATTTTCCCTCCATCTTTCATAAAACGTAACTACAATACATTATATGTTTCAGCCATCTCATTTTCAAGAAATTATCTATCATTATTGCTAATAAATATTTTCAATTAAAAACAACTAAATTTGTAAATCATTTTTCATTGTTTGTATGATAATTACCTACTAAATATCTTGGTAAGAGAAAAAAAATGTATCATTAAGCCTTTAAATTTTAAATGACAATTTTAAAATATATATATATTAAAAGTCTTACATTTGGTGATGTAGCAGATGCTAATAATGGCAAAAGTCCTCCACAAGCAATAATTATATTATCTGCAACTTGAGATATCAAATGAACTGTATTAATAACAAATATAGCATTTTCACCACTGTTGACAAAGTCTATCACAGTCTTAGTTGTGTGGCTGAAAGAATAATACATTACTTCATAAGGATTATATTACAGCTATATTTAAATAAGAGCGAAAATATCAGAAAATATTAAAAAATTTTAAATCAGTATTAAATATCACATAGCATGTTTGATAAAATATGAAAGTCAAAATGTGTGCATGCAATGAAATTGAAACATTGCTATGAATAAAGCTGAATACTGTGAAGTTGAAATGCTTCATTTGACAGTATCATCATTTAAATTTATTTTTGCTGGTGCGAATGGTGCAAATGTTTTGCACTACTTAACTCATCACAAAAAGTTCTAAACAAGACCAAAAGTATCTTGAAAACACTGAAAAAAAGGTGCAAACAACATGAATCTACCATGTATTTGTTTCATAAGAATAAATTGAGTTTAATTAAAAAAATTAAATTTAACTACATATTTAATTAATTTAGTTAAGTTTTGATATACCAATTAAATCAAGTTCATTAAATTTTAATATTTTCTTTCATCAAATTTAAGTTTTATTTAACTTCCTAAAGGAATTTTTGAGAAATTTCTGGGAATTTTTAGAGGTTTTTTAAGGACTTCATTTCAAAAAAATGTTGGGAAATTTTACTTTAAAATTTAATATTAAAACATTTCAGTTTTTTTGCAATTTTCACATAAAATATCTTCCATTTAATTTTTTTAACAATTTTCACAATTTTTTCAACAGAAACACACATTTCAAATTACAAACAGTTTACATTTTTTTCACATACCACTTCACTTTAATTTCCTTCAAGCAAACATACATCTCTTGATTGGCTCAGTTACTTAACTCCCTAAATAATTGATATTACTACCTTTAGGATTTTTAATTTAATTTAATTTAATTAATATTAATATTTACAAAAATTTTTTTTACTATAACAAAGATAGCAGCTTGACACTCAACTTTACCTACAATAAGCGCCATTTATATAATTTGAAGAACACACTTACTTCTCTTTCACAACACTTTTGCAGACCCCAACACTCATATAGTAGGTAAGTTAGAATCAAAAGAGTGGCATGTATCAAACCAGAGGCATGTCATGAAATTAGAGAATGTTCTTTAATGCTGTTTTAGGTTTTCCCATTTATTTAACATTAAACTAAAGACATGACAAGGGGAGGGAAATTAAACAAAATCCCTTAATATGACACAAAAAATGCACGTTACGGCATTACTGAAAAATCATTTACAATATTACTAAGGAAAAGTTTTGAAAGAAATCAAAGAGAAACAATCATGGTCCCCCCCTTCCTCCGTTTTATTCAATGCTCTCCAAACACATTTAAAAGTTACTGCTTATTTAAATTCAAAATATAATTAGCAGACTGATTTTATTTTCACAGGTTTATACCTTCTAATTCTAAAGGTGGTGGTGTTGGTGTATTTAATTACGGCAAAGCACACTAGGGCTATTTGCCTAAGGGGAGGGATGCCTTCGTGGAGGACTTTCTAAGGGAAACTGGCTCGTATACACGTTACACATGGGGAAAACCACGAAAACGCCCATGCAGCCAGCCCGTTCACGGGATTCGAACCTCGGACCGAACTACCAGTGTTCAGCGACTTTACCGCTCGGCCGTTGGTGGGCATCTAATTCTAAAGACATTATGGCTTTACAATTAGGAACTGCTAAGATAGTAAGGCAATATTATTCTCTTATAAGATAATGGTATTCTGAAATTAAAAAGATCATATTATTTTATGCAGACCTAAGAGATCTGAATCTGTACACAGCAAAAAAAAAAAAAAAAAAAAAAAAAAAAAAAAAAAAAGAATGAAATGTTGCCAAACACCATATTAATTTCATACAATTCACACTGAGCAGAAAATATATTTGAACAAATTCAGTTGATACTAATAATATTCACAATTATTACTACTATTTATAATTATTACTGCGCCTAATTTGCCTAAAATTAAATTTAACACAATTACTTCCCTTTTAAAAAACTAGAGCTTTAACATTAAATCTAATTTAACAATAACAAAGTTAAACAAATATTACTGAACATTTAATTTCAAAAGTAAAGATGTATTTAAAATTCTTCCAAAAAAAAAATTCAATAACAAAGTTCAACAAATATTACTGAGTATTTAATTTCAAAAGTAAGAATTTCTTCTTTAAATGAATTAGAATCTATTAAATTTAAAAAAAATTCAATAACAAATACCCAAATTAATTTGATAATGTTCATTATTTTAACATTTTCGTATCTTTAATTAGTAAAACGAAATAACTGGAGTCAGAAAATATCTCAGTAGCTCAGAATATAAAATATAATTACTATGTTAACATAAATATTAATTAATTATATTTAATACAATTACTCCTTTTTAAAAACTAGAACTATAACATTAATGAATTTAACAATACAAAGGTAGATCATACTGAGCATTATTTCAAAGTTAGATTCTTCTAAATATGAGTTTTAAATTCTTTCAAATTAAAAAAAAAAAAAATTCAATAGACCAAATGCCCAAATTAAATTTGATCATGTTCATTTTTTCAACACTTCACATCTTCACTTAATAAAATGAAATAACAACTACAGTCAGAAAATATTTTAAGTAGCTTTAAAATATAAAATATAGACTTAATAATAAAATTGGTGAGAACAATTTTCTTAAAAAACTCCAAATCAATGGATTCAGCACATTTTAAATGGTAAAACATGTTACATTACCTTCTCCACACTTGAATATCAGTTTCCAAAGAAAATAATAAATCGGACAAAAGCCGTTGATGGATAGGAGACCACCTAAATTCAGGAATACGAAATGGAGGTCTTGTAGGTCCTGAATTAAACATCTGCCTTCCATTATTATTTGTTGGCCTTTGATTTAAAGACATAGATTTTGGTCTCTGAACTTGAGTGCTGATTTGTTTACGGGGAATAGTCACACTTCGTGGCCTTCTTGTGGGAGCTACATCTGTTTCAGAAGGGATCACAGTATTTTGAGATGTAGACACATCCACATTTGTATTGCTAATACTTACAACATTATCATTTACTGATTCAGTAGATGATAATGATTCAGCACTATTTTTATTTAGAATACTTTGTGATGCATTTAAATTTTGATCAACTGTTTCACCAACGCGTTCAGACATGAGTCTCCTTTCCTTTTCTAACTGACCTTCAATAGTACTAATACCAGTAGGTTTTACTACCTCTTCCTCTTCTTCACGCTCTTTAAACGGCACAGATTCAGTAATATTTGCTTCATTTGTTGAGCTTTTCTCTACACTTTCAGAAGCCTCTGAAGATACCTCACAAACTGATGTCTGAATAGAGCTTGATGTGGTAGATTTACCTTCAGAATTTACATTTGGAGACGTGAATGTGTCATTATGATCTACAATATCATTATCACATTTGCTTTGAGGTTCTGTTGCTTGCAGAGATGAATTTAAATCTTGTTTACCCGATGTCACTTCTTGAATAAATTCTGGCACAGAATTGTCCTCCTGCGACTCTTCTGTACCACACACTGATGTAATGTTATGCTCAGATGCTGGAATATTTTTTTCTGGAGTACCTTCATGGATAGAACCATATTCATGTCCTTCTTCCTCTATATTTTCCTGGTTTATTAATGAAACATTGTTGCTAATATCATCTACATGTAGTGATTCAGCAGTCTCTTCCTCAGGCAAACTAACATGTGATGGAGAATGAATACTACTTATAGCAGAATCATCAACTGAATTACCTAAGCTCTGATTTTCACAATTTTCAAGATCAAAATGAGATAACTCAGAATTTTCATTCTCACTTTTATCAACATTATTTTCTGCTTCAGTATTCATATCCATCACAACATTTGATTCTAGAGATAAAGGAAGATTTGTTTCTGAAAGATGCTCATTGGAACAAGTTCTAATCACTGAAATTTCATTATTTTGTGCACATTCCTGACTTATCAGACTTTGCACACCTTTGCTTTCAACATCAACATAGTTTTCTTCCAGATTTATTGCATTAATAATATTATTCAAACTTTCAGTTACAGCCTCATCAACACTACGTGATGGATCAAACAAAGAATTATCCTCTGAAATAGGCGACTGTTGTTCTATTTGTGAAATTTCAATATTTTGTTCAGCGTTCCTTTCATCAGCTTTTAAAGCACAAATATTTTCCGTATTTTCTATAAAATCACCATCAGAAGAGCTTTCTTTTAATATGCACTCTGAATATTGTCAACATTTGTTATACTATCAGTTATATGTTCAGCAAGTTCAAAAGGTTTCACCCCATCATCTAAAATTTCATGAGGCAGTTCATCTGGAGACTTTCCTGTGGCAATGCTTTCATCATCAAGAGTCAATTCATTGTCACATGTGGCTTCATCATCTGCAGTTGATTTTATTTTATGTTCATCAGAATCTCCTATTGATAGAGAAACAAACCCTGAGTCACTAGGAGAATTTGTTTGAGCACTTTCAGCATCAGTTTTGGCACCATTAATGGATTCAACTTCTTCGGCATTATTCAAGACTTCTGTTTCATTTGCGTCAATAGTTAGCACCTGATTTTGTTCAGAACTTGTGATAGCATCAGTTGCACAAGATGTAATAGCCATTGTCTCCATCAGAGTATTATCTTCGGATGTAACAGGTATAGGTCGATGATCATCAGCTGTCAGAAGAGCTTCACATAAACTGCTGTTATAATTGGGCTTCTTCACCACTTCACAAACTTGTGATGTTTGTATAACGGTAGACTGCTGTACGGCATCTTCACCATGAACTGACAATGGCCCTGGCAAAGAACTCTTGGCACTGTCTGATACTTCTTCAATAACAGAAGTTTTATGTTCAAGTCCAGAAAATGATGATGAATCTTGAATTACCAATTTAGAACTCTCTACTTTAGATTCATTTTCATTCAAATCTTTATGGACGATATCAGGTCTGGGTGGATTTACAACATTTAAGGCACGGTGGTTGTTGTTGTCCAATCCAGAGATTGTGCTAATAGGTTTCTGTTTGCGAAGAGCAGGATCAGTAAGATGGTCTGAACGACGCTGTTCATATTGCTCATACATCTGAGAAAACTGCAACTTAAACTCTTCAAAAGACACCTAAGAAAAATGCATAAAAATGTAATAAAGATAAAAAAATCTTTATATCTGATGAATCTTTAAGAACATTAAGAATTCTACCAAATAAAAAAGAGAGTCTGAGTTGGAACATTTTAAACTCAATAATCATGTGAGTTACTTACCTAAACATTTTATAATTTTACATATTATCATTAATTGTGATTATAATAGGTAAATATGCCAAATGTATAAACATAAAATAAATCATTTATAATTAATTTAGAAATGTAGAAACCAGTGGGAAGAGAAATATCTACTCCTGTTCACAATTTTCAATGTGTACTAAATATTTTCTTTTGAACAGATACTTTTTTGTTGAGGAAAAATGACTGCATAAATTCAATATTTAAAGCATTACTTTATTAAATAAATCACACTAAAATTCTATGAAACATCCTCTTCAAAATTTTCTATGATATAACCTCCCCCCCTCCTGTTTTATGTAGACCCTTTCCTGGGGATCATTCTAAAACTAATCAGGCAATGTAATATTTATATTTGAGTGTTTTAAAAGAAAGAGAAGCAACAGACAGAAACCAGAGAGAAAATTGTATCCAAGGCACTCTAAAGAACTCAGCTGAAAGCAAAATGTATGGAAATATCATGTGACAAATGTGAAATTTACATGACAGTAACAGCTGTCAGGTGAAATTTTACACTGCTAAGTTGTTCTGGAATACTACCCTAATAATGAATTTTTAAAAATTCAAGAATTTCAAACATGTTTCTGACAACTGACATACAGCTACTTACTTTGATAAGGTTTGTTGTAGAGTGAAAAGTTTTAAATAATAAAACATGCAAAGTTTTTATTCATATACTTTTGTTAATCAATATGCCACAAAATGCAAATCTAGTAACATTCTTACATAAAATACATTGGGAGGGAGGATCCCACTTTTAATGGAAGGGATGAACCTGATGCAAATTTTTAATATTTGCTTCAAATTAGTCAGGCTTAATCTTAATTCTCGTTGGTCAGTAATTTTAAATATTTTTCCCGGGAGGGGGGGGGGTAAGAAGATTGCAAAGTGTGCTGAAACTTCTTTCTATGAGGTATGAAGATGGAAAAGCTATCAAAAACTTTCTTGCAGTAGTCCATAATACAGGCTAATTAACATACAAGTTTCTCTCAAGCTAGAATTCCTGATACCCCTTTTAAAACTGCACTTTGATTTCTTCATTAGTGCTTATTCCAAATCAGTTCTTGTAACGTGAGATTCGATTCTTCAGTGTCACCAAATGGATCGATGGACCCCAAATGAGCAGTGGTATTTCCATATTCCCAACATCCTTAGATCTGGTTTGAAAGTCTGCATGAAGGGAATTTAAATGTTGAACATAAGCAACGTCATCATCCTTGCAGTTTGTCCATAACAAATTGAGAAACTGAAAAAATTCCTAGCTGTTCCAGTGTTTTGCTACATTAGGTTAATTATGGCAAGAAAAGCTGCAAGATGGGTTTGGTTTTTATTAAATTTATATTGTCCCCTTGTAACTGCAAGTTTATCTCATTAAATTTAGAAAACAAATCTGTTAAATAAACATGGTTTTTATTTCATTAAAATTTCATTTAAAATGAGATCTTTAACATTCTGAAACTCCAAAACAATCTTAAAATGTTAAAAAAAAAATTTTTTTTATCACCTTTTGATAGGCAGCGCATATCAGTGTGGAGGAGTAATTGCTGAAAGTTCTTATCATTTTGTTTCACATAACTGTGCGAATAAACAATGCTTTGCTCCAAATTTTGTTTACTGCATTTAGAATTAACTGAAGAGACTGAAGCAATATGCCTCTCAGATTTTTTGCAGGTATAATTGTTTTCTCTGGATATAAAATAGGGGTATAAAACAGGGATATAAAATATTAGTAGGGGTAAAATCAATGATGTTTCTCTGTAAAATGTTTCAGTTTAAGATGCAAGCAAATTTAGATACAAGCAGCTGTGGAGCCCAATTATTGATCACATAAATTTATGCTAAAATGTTTATTTCTTCAATAACAAGGTATTTCATTTAGTGCTGAAGTGAAATTAAGACTCTGTGCACGTTTTATTATGGGGGGGGGAATCAAATGTGCATGTGTAAGGCATACTTTTTTTTGTAAGTGTGTGTGCATGTGTACTGTACATAGATATAAGCATTCATGCACAACTGAAATAGTGTCTTAAAGTTTGCTCTCCCATCAGAGCACTATGAAGGAATGTAATCCTATGTTAAATTTAAAAAATAAAAAAAGGGGGTGGGCGAAATTTTTGCATTTTCTTCTTTAACAACTAATGATATTAAAGCCTTTTTTCTACATAGTCAGTTTAATCTGTCTCTGGTAAATTCAGGGTGGACTGTATCTCATGGGTGCAATGCAAGTCATTACTATATTTCTTAATTAGACTGAGACCAACCAAAGACTAATAACTTACTTTTGAATGTACAATGGCCAGAGTGTCTACCCATACTCTCCACCCTCCATATTCGTATTTTATTGCATGGTGAAGCAGCATACGAAATAACGAATAAACCATGTCAGATAATTTTTGTTCCTCAGCATTTTGAGGATGAATATAAGCCATGGCTATCAGCCATTCTTGCCACACAGACATCTGAAGAACTGTCCTAAATAGAGAAAATTCCATTTTTATTACAAGGGAAAAAAAAAAAAAAAAGCAAAAAATAAATTTTAAACAAATAATGATTGAACCACAATATCATTTTGTGATAAAAGTTTGTTTTAAAACATTTTCATTGTTGAGTCAAACAGAATGATAAAAATCAATTAAACCAATATATTAAAACATATTGTGGAGAGTTGCCGCAGCAGTTTTTGCCATTACCTCCCCCCCCCAAAAAATACTATTAACAAAGTCAACCATTTTTCATTTAGCCATGTTCATATAAAGAGCTTACGTTGTCTGAAAACAATTATTAAATTATCTTTACTGCAGGAGGCAGATAATTGGCTTCTTTTGCAAAACAATTTACTTGATGAAATTTTATAAAATCTTTACATTTATAATACTTTTCATGTAAAATTTAATTATAAAGTTCTTGTCTGAAAATACCTAAATACACTTCAAATGAAAATTTTGTACAATTCTATCTTACCAAATGTGTTCGCTAAAGTTATACGCATATTCAACATGAGATGCTGCTGGTTCATTATTTGTATTAAATACTTTTTCAGATAATTTTTGCTAAAATTATTTTAGCTTACTTTAAAATGACATTAGCTTAAAATGACATTGGAATTGATCCAGGTGAAAGGTTGAAATAAACTGGAATTTTCTACTAATTATGAAGGAGAATTCAAAGGCAATAATTTTCTTAAATTGCTTAATACCCTACTAACTGTACACTATAATGACATCTAAAGGCAGCAGCATCCTACCTTATAATATTTCACATAATGACATGCAGCATTATAAGAAGCTTTTCTTAGAAATCCGTACCTTCCAGCAATAGTTTGAATGCTATTAGTTCCAGCACAAGTTTCTAGCCGAAACAGTTGCACATAGTGATAATGTTGAGTGCGCATACCAGTATGTTTTGGAACTTAGTCAAAATAATAACTGAATTTCCAGCAAATATGTGCTGCATGTCTTCATATTGTTCAATTTTATATAATTATGAAAGTTGTTTGCTTCAATCCAATATTTAAAATCAAAATACCAAACCAAAGTTACAGATGTACACAATGCTTAAAAGCAGGTAATTGCAATTATGCTTTTGATTACAGTAAATTCAGTGAAGAATTACAGGGTCAAATTTCATCTTAAATTTATGTATATAGTAACAATTACTTCTAATTTGATTTTAGGTTATTTTACAGGTACACTTTTAGTTTTGAGTTTTGGGGAAGCCCCCTCACATTAAGCTGAATAAAAATATATGGTGTCCACAAAATCCCTGAACAAATTTATTCTATCATTGCGGGTAACTTGCAAAAGACAGTGCTGTAAATTTTTGTCACAAGATTACATGTATATCGAAGATTTTTTCCTAACAATTTATCTTGAATTAATATACACATAATATGAAGATCTGGGAATATGAAAATCCTCATGTTACAAAGGAGTTGAAGTGGGACGGCCCAAAGTAAATGTTTGGCATGGGATGCTGCATAATAATATTCACAACCACTTTTCTTCCATGAACAAACAGCAGTGGCCAGAGTTTGCCTTGATACATTGATCAATTACATTTGCCTGCAGCTGAAGGACCGGGAACCAGAGGTTATTTTTCAGCAGTATGACATGGCACCACATAAAAATTTTGTCACAAAAACTTTTAACCTTGCTTGTGAAAGTGTGACCAGTATCAAAGATATCAGTTATTCCATTTAAAAGTCCCTTCAAAGTTCAAATGTCCATTCCTAAGTCCCAAATAACAAGTCTTTAAAGTTGCTTAGGATCTTTGTGGACACCCAGTATATCCAGTTTTTAAATATAGCTGCATTTGGAAATTCAAAAGAAATATTAAAGAAAAAAGACATATAACAGAAAATTAAAAATAAAGAGAATTTTAAAACTCAAGAATGCTATCCCAAACTGGAATTCTTTCACAATATTTACTAGTACACTCAAAAGAATGTATCACTGATCTTGGTTATTTTACACTGAATGAATTCATCATAAAATGAAATATTTCAATCACAAATGCACTAACCTTCGGTTTTCCTTGTTATTATTGCACAGTAAAGTCATATCGGACAGGAAGAGTTTTTTTGTTTCCATAAGTTCTTCACAAGGTTTTGACTGACGTATTAATGTAGCAATAACTTTCAATATCACTATAAAAATTGAAGAACATATTACATTAATGATAAAAAAGTCATACTTTCCATAAAATACAAAACAGATTAAAAAAAAAAAGAAACAAAAAGAAGAAGAAGACAAACACTTCACACAAAAAGCTACAAGGTATGCACAATTGATTATGGCAAAGTGCATAAGAGCTACCTACCTAAGGAGAAAAATGTCAGCCTTTCTAAACAGAACTGGCGTGTATCCGTATTTACAAACAAAAAGCACTGATGCATTATTAAATCATGTACTTGTAATACTAACTTTTGACTCAGGCTCAGGAGAAATGCATTTTGGAATGCAGCATTTTTAATAACATATTTCAGGAGAGCAATCTGGAGCAGCCGATTTCAAAAATTGCTACAACTTGAAGCAAAGCATTGCAAAAGTTCAGTAGTTTCACACAGATATCATAAAAAATCAAGTAACTTTAGATGAATATTTGATAACTGCATTTAAAAAAAATGGAATTTTGGTTTTCACAGAGCATCAATAATCAGCAACAGCAGTCGCAAATATTTTAATTTCAATTAAAAAAATGCTGATCTTATTGTAGACTCATTTCTAAGCATAAAAACTGCAAAAAAATTATTAATTTTAACATACAAAAAAATAAAGGAAAAAATTCACATCACATAAAATTCCAGCTATCTAGACCCATCTTCTTCCTCAATCGATTAAAGTTACATTTGTTGTAGACTCATTTCTAAGCATAAAAATTCATTTCTAAGCATCTTATTGTAGACTCATTTCTCTAAAAAAGCAAAAAAAATTTTAATTTTAAACATACAAAAAAATAAAGGAAAAAATTCACATCATATAAAATTCCAGCTATCTAGACCCATCTTCTTCCTCAATCGATTAAAGTTACATTTGTTGCAAATTTATTTACTTCTTTCTATTTTTTCACTAATTCAGTGGTATAAAAATATAATACATAAAGTTCCTATTTTTTAAAACGCTAATAAATTCTTTTAAATGAATGCATGTGGCATTTAAATTGTCCTATAAATTTCAGTAAATAGACCATTAATGGGAAAGAAGTTATACATAATATACAGAAGGTTTGATGTTTCATGGTTAAGCATAGAGCCATAGCATAGAAATATGTGCTTAATTTTAATACATTGTAAATAAAATAAAGGGTAAAGAATGTGTGTTTAATTTTAGAGCTAGTGCAAATGATGATTATTTTATTCTTTTAATTTAGTTGAAATTCAAATGGACTGCACATTCAGGAGGGAACTTAATTATTTGGATATTTCACATATCTGGATAAATTCCAGCAATCTAAATATTTGAAATACAGCTGTAGTTAATGGAATAAAAAAGTTGTTTCTATCACTCATAAATTACAAATTTAATGTTATACATATGATCATTTAAATTAAAAATAGAGATATTTAATTAATCCTAAATCACAAAACCTTCATAAAAACTTATTAGTTTCTATAAGAGTAGTAAACCTGATTATAGTTTATTTATGTTTATAAAACCTGATTTTCCTAAACTACAACACAGTCTTCTGTAGGGCCCAGTTGCTTTATTGTGTTAATATAAATTTAAATACAGGTGATAGCAGAATAGCGAATTCAAAGAATGTGTATAAGGTGTGCCAAACCCTATACATTAAATGAATATTTATGCTAATATGATGAAGTTCATCATTACAAAACAGACTTTAAATGAAGCATTATGTTTAGTGTCAATAATTCTTAAATTGAAAAGAGTTAATAATCAGGAGTATGCAAGAGATTTGGCTACTTTAATTTTATTTTGTTTTGAAAAATATAAAAATAATGAGAGTGGTTAATGATTAGTGATCTGTCAAATGCACATCATCAAAAAGTAATCCTCAAATTCATAAAGTTTAAAAACAATTCTTTATTGTCCCATTCATGAATTCTTTGCTATAGCTAACAAAGAATTCTAAAGATGTCGCTAAAATCCAGGTTATAAATAATCTTATTTAAAAAGAAAAAAACGTATTTACATAAATTGTAATTCTAACACTTTTACCTAACCATCAGTAATACATAAAGTAAAATTCTAATACTTTTAGCAAACTATCATACTGACAGATTGAAAGTAGCTTTCTTGATAAAAACTAAATCTGAAAATTCTTTTTGACATACTTGGGTTTTCCAGCCTATAATGAGATTCTGGCTCAGGATGTTTTTGATACAGAATTTGGCTCGACACATGCTCTGTCAGAATCTAATATAAATAAAATCATAAATATAGCACTGAAAATTCATACACAGCAAATACAGCGATACATATAATCATACCATATGAAAAAGTAAGGGGTTTTGAATACCTCATATAAGACATTGTATGTTGATAAGGAAATGTGATCCGAATGTAGAAGCAGTCTTTCAGCGAGCAGCATGTACAAATTATGTGGACCCATCACATCATGCTTTCGCCTGAAAAATACACATTTAAAAATTTGTACAGATGGCAACACTAACTACTAAATTTTTTAGAACAAGCTTACCTAGTGAACACAAGAAAGAAATACATTATTTCACACACACGCACACACAAAAAAAATATTTATATTTTTTTTAAAAAATATTTTTTTCTAAAGTTTTGAATTTTGCATTTGTTCATCTAAGAAAGACTGACCCGAAATATTTTAAGTTCTAGAGCCACCATAACATTTGGCAGAATACAGAAGTATTCTGCTTATAGGGGGGGGGGGGGGGGGGGGGGGGGGGGGGGGGGGGGGGGGGGGGGGGGGGGGGGGGGGGGGGGGGGGGGGGGGGGGGGGGGGGGGGGGGGGGGGGGGGGGGGGGGGGGGGGGGGGGGGGGGGGGGGGGGGGGGGGGGGGGGGGGGGGGGGGGGGGGGGGGGGGGGGGGGGGGGGGGGGGGGGGGGGGGGGGGGGGGGGGGGGGGGGGGGGGGGGGGGGGGGGGGGGGGGGGGGGGGGGGGGGGGGGGGGGGGGGGGGGGGGGGGGGGGGGGGGGGGGGGGGGGGGGGGGGGGGGGGGGGAAAACGTTTTGGAAAAAAAAACACCAGACATGGTTGGAAAAGAAAAGTTGCCATATAACGCAGACTGAAAAAACAATTTTTCGTTTAGGTAATGTATATAGAAATAATTCTTGTGGTGCAGATCATGTTATGCCTTGCGTAAGAAGAAGGAACTCATCCCAGCATGTCTCACAGTTTGATCATAAGAGAATCGCAACCTACTGAGACTAAAATTCATTATCCTCTTTGAATGATGGTCACATTAATCAAAATCCAATGACCACTATGATAATTTGCAATCAATGGATTCAGGAAAGCCATAGAGAGTTATGAGCAGCATATCAATAATGCCCTCCACTTATGAATGCCCAAGATGACAGAAATCTTGTCTGTATTGTATACTGCTGCTAGGGATCACATAGCCACATCATATCTCTGGGTTAGGAAATTGGATACATTGCATAGCATCAACTATCTACACATATGGTGTGATAGCATTTGCAACAGCACAGATTGTTAGCGAAATGACCACTGTTTACAGTACCTACAATTATGCTTAACCACTTGCGCTGAAAAGACGTGCCACAAACGTCGAGATGCTTTTGTTTCAAACTGCACGCAAAAATGAAAATAACGTGGTGCGCACGTCGCCTAACAACGAGATTGTTTATTTCTCGAGTTACAGCTCTGGATTGCACTCGCAGACGCGGAGTGGCATAAATGAGACACTTTACCACTTGTTATATTGTAGCGCATGGCACCGCAACCATGAAGTTTAGTCATAGCGCAAGTGGTTAATGATACATGTGGAACTCGTGAATAGCATGATCTTATCAGATGTCCAGGTTACTGATTTCTACATGTTCTGTGCTTCAAAGTTATCATAAATTATAATCACTTCATCCTTCCATTACAATGTATTTTAAAAATAAATGTTATAAGGTATTTTCTTCCTACTTTTTGCTTGCCTTCGTGGTGTAACGGTAGCACACTCGGCACATATTCGAAAGATCCTAGTTCGAGTCCTGGCGAGGGCATTGGTTATTAATATTTGCTACAGTTGCTTGAATTTCTTCCACAACATTTTAAGTAGGTTAATGATAACTATACTACACTTAGCAAAAAGGGCATAGCAAATCAAATGTCTAGCCATCTCCTATTTAAAATAAAAAATAAAAAAAGAGAGAGAGAGAGAGAAAGACATATACATTTTATCTTGAGTACATGTTCAGAGCAAAGTCAAGTAGTTTTTCTAATGGGTGTGAACACTGAGATTATTAAGTGTTTGATTACAGTAATATTCAACACAGCATCCCTGACAGATTTAATAAACTATTTCAAATTTCAACAAATCTCTACATAAAAGTTATCCTTCAATCTTCTTCAAGAGAAATTATTTCTGCTCTTTTAATAATATTCCATAAACATTATTAAAAAAATAAAATCTAATAATTGGTGTATCAGTAAATTTTAGTACACTTTGCACATTAAAATATGACACAATTTTAAAACTGAAATGTATAAAATGTGATTTACAGAATTCTAAATATTTCAGTCTCCAGATACTTTATAAAGAATTGTCAAAGATACTAATACTGCATTATTAGGCAAGTATGACAATGAGATCATCATTGATGATATGCAAAAGAATTTATTTATAAAGAAAAAAATATTTTAAAATAAAAAAAATCTGCATGACAATTAGGAAAAAAAAAGACACTTTAACTCCTTAACTGCATATATATTTGCCTTGCTCAGCCGATGTGTTAACTGCCCTGGGTATATATATATATGCCCTTCCAAACTACTATCATTTGCTTTGCACTGCTACCCATAAAATTATTTGCAAAGCTTTGGAATGCAACACCAAATGCCCTTGACAAAGTAGGCGAAGGAGGATACTATTCAGAGAGTGTGGAGAGAAATGGAGAGAGGGTGTCTAAATGGTGAAGTACTGACTGCGCGGTCTTGGCTGTGTTGTTTGAGTAAAACTTTTTTTATTCTGGTCCTCCCGTTTTCATTTACTTTTTGTAGTAGATTCGACTAAAGAAAGATATAACGGATGTTTCAAACCCATTTATCTTTTTTGAATTTTTTTGATGACTGCTTGGCTCTTATGGTTACTACACTAACCATTGTAGATAGTATATGAACCCAACCCTTGCAACAAAGATCAAGAACAAAATCGTTCATTCATCATTCAAAGAAATATTATATTTTAGCATACTGTTTTCACATGTTTATTTATTTTTTTTTTAATATTGATAACAAACCTGAACCAAACACAAAACAGGATCAAAATGAATTGCTCAAAACTCCATTTTTAGGGATCTTTTCATTATATTTAATTTAAAAAACATCATTTTTATTATACTAATCTTTTTATATTTTTTACCCAAAAATTTATATGTTGTGCATATTTTTTTTTGTATTTCTTTATTTTGTGAAAGTGAACAGTTTTTAGAAAGTAAAACTTGCACTTATTTCCTCCCTAATACATCGCATAACTACACGCACCTGTGCGAAAAACCGTGGCACTGGGAAATGAATCTTGTACGTTTTCCGCAGCAGTTAAGAGGTTAATAGACTAATGACTAATGCTAAATTTTTCAGCAATAAAATAAACATTTTGTTTTTATCTTGTACAGTTCAAAATGAGAAATCGGAAAGGAATGTGAGTATGTGAGAATTCATGCAGTTTTGCAGTCTAGGCAGTTCGCAGTCATAAATCACACAGAGATCACCTACATTAAAATTGGAAGCTATTTCATTTGGCATATTCACAATTTTTTTTAACACAAAAATTCTACACAGATTTCTGTGGACTTTTAAACGTTATTAACCTTCTTTCAAGATTCTTCTGGCATAAAACGTTTACTTCTGTGCGAGAATCAGCAGAAATCTGTAATTTATCAAATCTTTAGAACTAATCAGCCAGCATTTATCTATATCAAATATGCTTGAAACAATGTACAGTTTAGCCTACTATTCCTCTACTTAACAGCCCCCTTTTTTATTTTTGCTCGGATTTGCACATTATGGGTACTTTTAGAGGAAAAAGAGCTGAAGAAAAGAATGGCACAGAAAAACAAACAGAATATATCTTTGTTTTTCATATAAAGTGGGCTAACAGAAAAAATTCGTTTTTCTCCTCCCTTCCCCCTTTCAAAATTTAGTTAAATAACTGCATGACAGAGAATTTCATCCATGTAAAAAATTATCAGATAAGATTAAAAATCTAAAAGGCAGTATTATTATGATTACTCTAATTGTATGCACATGTAGACAACCTGTAATATGTGTCTATGTATAATGTAAATACTTTCACAAATATTCCAATCAACAAGCTAAAAGTCTTAATCTAAGAAACGATAATGAGATTTATCTAAAGCATAGTACCGCAAATACAGTAACAAAGTTCAAAATTATATATAGGTATTTCACCATTCCAATTTTATGAAAAATAAAAATATTATCTATCTATATATACTTGAACTCTAAATTACAGAAATACTATTCACAAACTTTTCTCAGTCACAATAGCCATGATTAATTATACATAAAATGAATTAAATGACATCTTTAAGATTCTTTATTATCACAAAAATATACAGCAAGAACACAATGAAAATTGAACTTACTTATGTGTACTTCTACTCAAGAAATAACCCAAAAGCTTTAGAGCTTGCAACCGAATGACCTCATTTGTTGATGCAAGAAGTTTAAAAACTGTCCTGTTATATATATGAAAATTATTTTTTATATCAAATTCATAAATGACAGTAGCAACATAAAACACAAAAGAACATACAAATGAATTTAAGAATTTTAGATATTTAAAATAATTATGTACCTAATTCCATTTTTAATATCAAAAGCTGGGACCATAGAGGCAGGATGCTCTGACATCAATGACATTAGCATTTGAAGAACATCGTGAAGATTTTCATCCTAGGAAAAGAGTTTTATTTTTTACAGCCTAACTGAAATTCAAGCATATAAAATCACCAATACATTATTTACATAAATTGAGCATAGTATAAATGTAGTGGGAAAGATAATAAAAAAAATTACTATTAACTTAACATATATAAGAGGAAAACTATTAAAATGGATCATAAAGCTATTTTGTTCAATTAAGAATATTTTTTATACATTTTACAAATACATCATCAACTATTTAACTATCTCATTTTGTTCATTCTTTAAAAAAAATCTCCACTGTCCACCAACACAAGCAAGACACAGTTTGAATGGTCTCTAATAAGACTGTTTGATTCTCTATTAAAAATAAAATACAATTGATCAAAATGCTCAAAAATATTAAAGATATCCAATTAATTTTAAAGATCAAGTAAATAAAAATTTCAAAATGCAGATCTAAACATAGCCTTTTAATATTAATAACAACATGCAATTAATTAGATTAGTAATTCAAACTTATAATGCCATAAAAATACAAAATTAAGAGACTCTAAAATTCATAGCTTAACAATGCTTAATAAGGATCCACTTTTCACTAGTTTATAAAAATACAGTCAAAAGTCTTTAATCCGGACTCATCAGGACTTCGACGATTCCGGATTATAGATCATCAATTATCTGGAAATGCATGCGCTTTAAATAAAATATAACCTTTTTTTGAATGTAAAAAAAAAAAAAAAAAAAAAAAAAAAAAAAAAAAAAAAAAAAAAAAAAAAACAAAAAAAAAAAAAAAAAAAAAAAAAAATAAAAAAAAAAAAAAAAAAAAAAAAAAACAAAAAAAAAAAAAAAAATAAAAAAAAAAAAAAAAAAAAAAAAAAAAAAAAAAAAAAATAAAAAAAAAAAAAAAAAAAAAAAAAAAAAAAAAAAAAAACAAAAAAACAAAAAAAAAAAAAAAAAAAAAAAATAAAAAAAAAAAAAAAAAAAAAAAAAAAAAAAAAAAAAAAAAAAAAAAAAAAAAAAAAAAAAAAAAAAAAAAAAAAAACAAAAAAAAAAAAAAAAAAAAAAAAAAAAAAAAAAAAAAAAAAAAAAAAAACAAAAAAAAAAAAAAAAAAAAAAAAAAAAAAAAAAAAAAAAAAAAAAAAAAAAAAAAAAAAAAAAAAAAAAAAAAAAAAAAAAAAACAAAAAAAAAAAAACAAAAAAAAACAAAAAAAAAAAAAAAAAAAAAAAAAAAAAAAAAAAAAAAAAAAAAAAAAAAAAAAAAAAAAAAAAAAAAAAAAAAAAAAAAAAAAAAAAAAAAAAAAAATTTTATTTCTTTCAAGAGCGCTGGTAAAGCGACGTGATTCCTTTTTAAACAAAGCTGCACCAGAGGCGATCTCTACTCATACATTGAGAATCGTGAATTTTCACCTACGAAAGAGTTTTATTTTTACAGCCTAACTGAAATTCAAGGCATATAAAGCATATTCAAGCATTACACATAGTCTAAATTACAAAATTGCAACCAGAAAACTATTTCATGCGTATTCGTGATATTTATAATGACGAGGATTTTGATTTAAATCATATCAAAGATGGAATACATCAAAATGAAATACTACATTTAGTAAGAAATCATAGGCCGAATAAAATAAAAACATCTGAAGACAAGGATAGTGCTGACAGATCAACTTCCAGTTTGTTGCATGCCACAACATCCCCCCCCCCCCCCGCAGAGCAGCATGAAATTGATAAACAAATTTCGAAATGGTTACAGAAACAAAGGATATGCCTTTATCCATTTTTTCAGCAATTCCACTTTTTGTTTGATGGACATCGAAACATGCTTTCGCTTTGTAGATCCTTTGGCAGCTCCAGAATCAGAAATTCTTTTTGACATAATCGAAAGTTCAAGCTTAATTTTATAAAATTTTATATTGCTCTAACAGTCTGCAAAAAATAATAAGCTGGATCCAATTCGAAGATTAAGGAACAATGCAATCTGCAACATTAACTGAAATAGATAGTTAGATAATTTTAGCTTAGCTTATACCATTCGTTATACATTAAACGCCCATGCGTAAACGCATATGGCAAGTGTAAAGGTATTATGCGCATGCGTAAGCACATTATGCATTTACGCATGCGCAGAAGGTCTGTAGCTTTGAGGCCCGGGTTATAGATCATTCCGGATTATGGATGCCCGAATTAAAGACTTTTGACTGTAATATACAAATAGCAAATAAAGGATTGCAAAAATAACCAACAATTAAAAGAATTCTCAGTAAACAATTTTCTTCTAACTATAGAAGAGGGGGAAATTATTAAATGCATTACCTCATGGACGGTAGTCAAATAATTCAAAATGCTTTGTAATTCATCTTCTTTGACACCATTTCCTTTTAAAATCAGTTGTTTCAAAAATAACAAAATGTATGCTCGAATGGACATTATATCATTCTGGTTAGGACGGGGGCCATCTGAAATATACTTTCTAAAATAAGAAAACTTTGAAATTTCACACTACATAAAAAAAGTTACTGGTAGTAAAATGCTTATTTGTTAGCAAATACACACACAAAAATAAAATTTTACAAATCCAAGTCTAGAAAATAACGTAACATAGTGCACACTGAATAAGTAACTAAAGGTAAACATATTTGAACTATATATCTAGAAAAGAAATTTCTTAACTTACCTATCCCTTTGGGAGTTATGCCACTTTTATTTCTTGGATTCACCACCCAATAATAATATTTTAATGTATGCATTGTCTGCAAGACAGTGCTTATGCGACGTACATTGCTGTAGATTTGTGTATCCGCCAAAAAGTCAGTCGCAAGGTAAGTAAATAATTTTGTTTGAACCTTCAAAGAAAAAATTTACATAAATAATAAATACTTACAACTTTACAAATCAAACATACTTTCTACTAACATAAAAATAACCATAACGGATAAATAATCTCTGCAATAAACTGACATATTAAATCACATTGAATGAATAGAATATTTCTAGCAGTTTGTAAATGCCTTAATCAAATCACAGTAAAAGTAACATGTTTTCATTTGTTATTAATATTCTAACAACTAAAGTAATTACACATTACAGAAAAGTACTGATACATAATGCAGCTAATAAATTGACATATTAAATCACATTGAATGAATAGAATATTTCCAGCACAGTAAAAGTTACATGTTTTCATTTTTTATTAATATTCTTACAGATGAACTAATTACGCATTACATAAAAGTACTGATACATAATGGAGCTGATATACAGTATCTATGAAAGTATTTACCCAGATTTTATTTTTGCAACTACTTGTCATAGCTATATAGTTTTAGTTATAAAAATATTTTAAATATTGCAAAGATGTATGTTATCATATTTGTGAAGTTAAAAAGATTAATTTCATATAAAACGTAAAATCTGACTTTTTTACACGTTCCTCCAGTCTCTATACTTATATTTAGGAAAATTTTGCACTCGTTATAAAAACTAACACACAAAAAGGCATTAGATCACCATGTCCACACAATTCTCATATGATGAAAATTGATTGAAATATTTAATTTCAAAATCTGCCAAAATTGATGTCATCCTGAATTTACACTGAAGGACTAATAAATTAATTAGAATAATTCGAGGTTGATTTCACCCCCTTAAATGGCATTAATTGATACTCTTTTGTGACTTACTAATATCTGCTATGCCGAAAGCATTTTTACACCAGTAATTTATGTTTTAAATCTAAAAATGCATTACTACTAATCGTATGAAGTTTTATTATTTTAGAGCCATAAAAATAACCGTAAAAAAACATTAAAATGCAAATTTTTCCATGTTTATTTACTGCAAATAATATTACTACTTGGTTATGTGCCAATATCAAAGCTTGCCACTGTTTTCTGGAAAACAAATTCTGTATATTCTGTAAATAAGATTTCCATTTGAAAATACTTACAAGATCAATGTTTTTCACTATAATCTTTTCAGAACTATTCATCAAGTACTCTCTTAATAATGGAAAACTTTTTCTAATTCAACCTTTTAAATTTTATTTTCAGTTATGTCAAAATTCGAACAATTTGCTCTTCAACTTGTGTAAAGCTCCTGAATATGATTGTAATCATTGCACAAATCACTGATCTTTTGCAATCATTGAATAAATCAAACTCTGAATAATATTTCTTCTTTTTATGACTTCCCCTACAAAATTTTAAATTCCTTTCTGATTTCTTCTGAATAAGCACGTACAAATTTAAACACAGCCCCTTTTTTTAAACTGCAAAACAAACTTTTGCAAAGACTTATTTAAAATGCAACTTTCGATTAAATGGAATTTTTGTGAAAGCAGTACGGCTCAACTTTAGAACATAGTTGAAAAAATTTTAAATATTGAATATTCATTAGTTAACAGCTACATTAAAACACAAAATGTAAAGTGTAATTTATTAATAAAATAATTAAAAACTTATAACAATGAATTTGCTTTGGATTTCTAATAAAATAAGTTATGCAAATGCAAAGACATACATAAAATATTTTCTATAATACACTTACGGTAGTAGGGGTGTAAATCCACAGGGCCGGATTGAATAAGATATGGTCAAGTAACTGTTTCAATAGTAATTCACTATTGCTGTTGTTTACTGTGACCAAATACTTTGTGAGATTTAAAAATGATAACAACACTTCTTCTGTAATGTGATCTCTAGATGCCTAAGAAAGAAGAAAAAATTATGTTTATGTCTAAAAATACTGGTTGATGAAAACATTGCACAGATCACTTTATAATATATTTCTAATAAATCTATGAGACTATAATCATACTAACCTTTTGTAGCAAGTAGCTGATGACCAGAAAAGCTTTATTCTGGATCATATGTTGCTGGACGGTTGGAGAATTCTCAACCAAATCACAAACAAAGCCAATCAATGTAGCACTAAATAACATAAATTATTCTTAATTTCAAAAAAGTCCCATTATCAGTACACCATTATGCCAGCCAGTTCAGTAAGTTCTAAGCCTAAAAATAATGCAATTATACAGCATAGTTTAAATGTGTTAGCAGAGTGTCTCTATAAAGATACTTTTGTACTGAACCATTTTAAAAATGTATTTTGGAAAGAGTCCCCCCCGCCCATTTTGTAAAATGTTTCGTTTTGATCATTTTGTAAAATATCCCACATTGCCTTGAAGTCGATGAGGTCAGATCGTCTAACAGAAGTAACTGAATCTGAAGCAAGTAATAAAGTGCATGTATCGTGCTATTAATTCAATTTTTGAGCAAGAAAAAAAACAACATGGCCAAACCAGTGTACAGAATAGTAGCATGTAAAGAGACAAACAAATCTTTTCCCATATACATGCCAATATTACAAGATGCAAAGCTTTGTTTAAAACATACTTTACAGCCATTAGAATATAATCTACAATCACTCATCCATTTGAAGTCACCATTCATTATATATGCTATTGAATTGAAGATATGGAATGGAATGTTTTGACTGTGATAAGTGCAGATAGGACATTTGCCATACTCTGACAGCGTAGTCATAAAGCTCCAAGGATATCAAATAATGATGCAGCATGAACCATACCCAGCACTAAATTGTGATTGTTACTTGGCTTGGGTGATAGGAGAATTTTCATGTGGAAGAGGTCTGGCCAGCACTTCTCACCCTCCATTATTATGGAATGGCACATATCCATTACGTCTGAGGGTACGCTTTGGCCATCGCAAAGAAATGTCTAAGTGAGGGGATATCTTCTTCAAAGACTTTCTAAGGCAAAATGGCTCATATTAATTCCTGTCACACATGAGGAAAATTAAACTTGAAGATATGGTTTTGAACAAAAAACATATAAGATATCTTCTTCAGCTAGTAGATAATTAGATATTAGTGCTGGGTCTGAGGAGACCATCCTGCAAGAATGTTTGCTTTATTCTTACTAACTGATCTGATGGTTTGTTTATTCCTACTAACAGATCTACAAACTGTTGAGGCTTAAAATGAACAAGAATCATGCCACAACATATAATATCAACAAAAACATATAATAGAATTTTGAATAATATAACAAAATTATTACCTCCTCATAAATCGAAGACCTCACTAAGAGATACACTAAGTTCAAACAGTTGACTAAGTTGAACTGTTTAAACACTAAGTTGGGACAGAGTTCAAAGGTTTTAAAAAAGCATTTATTGCTATATGTTAGGCTTAGAGCTTACATTATCTTAGGCTTAGGTTAGGCTTGGGTTTACATTATCATCAAACAATAGACTTATAATAAATGCACCTTTTATATATACCATTAATTTCCCTATATATATATATATATATATATATATCTTTAATAGATGAAACATAATTACATTTTAAACTGGAATAAAAGAAATAAAATTTACAAGTAATGCATAAATACCATGTTGTTGGCTTCTTGTCTTGGTTTCTAGACAAAGAAATGCCTGTTGGAATGTCTAGTTGTCCCAGCAATGGAAACAATACCTAGCATAAATGCAGACAAATATTACATGCAAACTGACATACAGTTATCAGTCTCCGCATTCACTTTTACCAATTCTAAATAAATATAATAATATTTACAGTGATATGATAAATTAAATTTCATGAAGAAAAAAATTAATACAGTAAGATAAGTAACAAAATTTAATTGCCAAATAGAATTGCATGCAGTATTTCCTAATTAATGCCAAGGTCAACCACATGTGTTGATTTGTACCTTTCAATGTGAAATTTAGTGATTTCGTAAGATACAGTAAAAAATATTTCCTAGACCAGCATTAAGTTATTTATATTATTAAGAATAATTATTAAACTATGCAGGAAATGCACCACACTATAAACAACCAACTTCATTTTTAAAAAAGAAAATTACTATGCTCTTTTTTTTTAGTTCATTGAATTAAACTTTTCTTTTTGATCCATATTCCTAACTCTCTAATTTTTTCAGACTACTTCACTTTATAAGTAATTTCATGATTTTACAACTGCATGTAGGGATGTTAAGGCTCCAAAGAAACTCTAAACTTAGAAATTTCTTTTATCATTTTATGACAGATATAACATAACATACCTCCATGTATATTTAAAAAAGAAAATTTTATAAATAATTTCTCTTTAGACATTTAATATAAAAAATGAACATGGCTGAAGATATTACAATGATTAGCAGAATAAAAAATACTTCAATATTCATATAACTCTTATAATTTTATAGCGTACTTCCATGCAAAACTCTAAAAAATGTTTGCAGAAATTAGTATTCTCTAAAACTGAATCAATCTCAAGCTTGTTTTATTCTACTATCACAGCTATGCATTTTTTAAAATTCTACGAAGCTTAAGAGTTGCATCAAGAAACATATATCTTAAGTTCATATGCTGGTCTGCCTTTTTAAAAATAAATACCTAATAAGATTTACTTTCATAGAAATCAATTATCAAGTTTGAAGGGAGGAGGGGGAACTGAAAGGTTTCAGAATTAACTGTCGCACAAAAGGATTTACATGAACGTGAAGTATTTTTATGCTTTCACTCAGCTCAAGGTCTACTAGACTGCTCTTGCATTCACTCCTGCTAAACCCCCTTTTTTTGGTCTTTTTAGCTTTATTATTAAGAACTGTTTTCTTTACACTTAGCCTCATATTTCAAGAACAAAATCGCATAATTTTTTTAAGTTGTATTAGCAGTATATGTTTAGAATTCCTGATTCAGTGTTAAATTTTGGCATATATTTTTAGAATTTTTTCAGTCTCTTCTCAGTTTATCATATCAATATTTAATTTTCTTAGTTAAGATGGCTAACAAAAAAAATTTTTGTCTTTTTATTATTAACTTTATTTATTAAATATCACATTCTTATGACCACATAAAATTCAATTCAAGAGCAAAATAACATAATATTTAAAAACAGCACATCTTTAGAATTCCCAATAGAGTGTTAGAGGTTACCATACATATTTTTATATTCACTGTATTATTTCCTTTAAAAACTAACTACTAGCTGGGGCGACTGGCGAAAATATTTATCATAAAAAAGAGAAAAGTGGTAATGATTTTAATTAATATAGTTAAAGCAATTTCATAAAAATATTGAATATTTCTAATTGGATGTCTCACGAATTTTATACATGTTTATTTAAATCGATGGCACTAAAAAGTAGAAAAAAATATTCTTAACTGTGTTTATTGTTTTTAAATTGCTCAATAAACATTCCAGATTACATCTGAAAGTATCTTAAGATTTGCTGAATGGCAACATGCTTGTGCATGAAGATAAAAGTATTTTACTTCTGGCAGCAGCAACAAATTACTTTCATACAGCTGAGTTTATTAATTAAAACTGGGAGACAAATGTCTTACACTGTTCCAAATGGCAACAGTGTTGCATACTGGATATAAAAATGTTTTATTTTGAAGCGTTGTCACTGTTCACTTCCAAACTGTTGAATTTGTTAATAAAAATGTTTTACAAACATTAAATAAATAATAAAATAAATTCAAAATTTGGGCTTCGAGGTGCACACGTTCATGTACAGGACTATGGTATTGAAAATTTGATGGCTCTAGGTACTATCATTTTTCACACTGCAAGAAACACACATACATGCAGATTTTTCATTATTTAATTTCTTTAAAAATAACACAGAGTAATAATATCTGGTGGCACAATTTGAAAAGTGATACACTGTTCATAGCTTAGTTCATGCTTTAAGAATCATAGCGAATGGACGCAAAATCCCATTTTCAGACTAACAGACCCTTTTCCGGGGGGGGGGGAGAGATTTTCTCCTTTCTTGCCCTTCCATGTCAAATTGTCTCAAGAAATCCATAAAATAAGTAATAACACAAAACTCTTGTAAATACAAATATGCACTACTTTAGTTGTAATATGGTATGGCACCTAAGCTAAACACTTTTATTAGTTGAAACAGAATCACAGATTTTGAATAGATGTGCAATCCTCACTTTTGACAACCAATTAGCAAGCATTAATAGTTCACCAGAAATTTTCGTAAGCAATTAAAAACAATTTAAAAACAGAATGTTTTAATGCAAACTCCCATTCAGAAGGCAGAATTTTACAGCATTTTAAATACTGGTGAAAAGCAAAATAAGAATACTAAATTTATATTCCTTAAATAAGAATCTTATAGCTTCATGCTTTAAGAATCTATTCACTTCTTCTACTTTTCTGCATAGCAAAAATTTCAAAATTTCCATTACAGCATCAACCTTGAATACAGCTATGTCTTACAGCTGAGTCAAAGGAGCTTGAATGGAATAAGAGAACCCATTCATGTTTTTTGGTTCAATGGTTACTGCACAAGATAATATGGTTTTGTAAAGCATGCTTATTGAGCATACTGGTATTCCAAAAACTAAGTTTTATAATTGCCTTACACAATCTTCATTTAGAAAACAGAAAAATATGGCAGTAAAAATGAAAGAACAGCATCATAAAAGTGTATTTTGCTATCTTTTCAAACTAAACATGGATGCGTTTAAAGGTTAACAATTTTTTAATTAAAATTTGCACAAATGCTCAGAAAATTATGAAAAATATATAAAATAATTTTAATTGAATTTATTCATAAAGCTTGTTGTGCATAATTTTCACACTATAGAGATTCACAGTAGTCAAATGAAATGACATGAGTGTATGGGAAATTGGATCTGACCAAAAAGTTCATTCATTATAAACAGTATTTACTATAGCAGGATTTGACTTCAAACATGTTACCCAATATAATTGAAAACTATATAAATTACTAAAAAAGGATAAATTTCTAATGCAGACAAAAGCAATAAAAATTAGCATCATTTTAAAAAACAATTCACCTGTATGCCTCCGATAGAATTCAAAGTACTGTGGATGGAATGAGTGGTAATGGCTTTAACATCCTGAAAAGATATATTTATTAAAATTAAATAGAATGGATATGTATTAATAGACTACAAATACAATGGAACGATTTACTAAAAAAACAAAAAGGAATATATAAAAAATGCAAAAGGTAAAAAAAGAAAAAGTTAGGGAAAAAAAGCAAAAAGTTTCATACTTGTAACATCAGAGCATGAGGTGTATGGACAAAATAGGAAATGTTTCCTTTAGGAGCAGCTTGCAAACATAACTGACTGTCAGTTGCTACCGGATTATACATGAAAACTATGGCACTTGAAAGTTTACCATCATATAATACCTATAATAAATTTTAAAAAAATAAGTCATCAAGTTATTAAAAAAGTGAAACTGCCACTAAACTAAAAAATAAAGAACAAGGAGAAAAAAAAGGAAAAAAGAAAATAATTAAATGACATTAATTTGTATTCAATTTTTAAATAAAAAGAATCCTTCATTTTATATTCAAAACAATAATCATTATTGCATTATAATCACACAAAATATAACTAATTGAATTTCATATACTATAAAAATATGAAAGCAATAACTTATGTAAAACTCCATATGGATATTAAAAATAACAAGTACAGAAATGTTTATAAATTAAGTCATGGAATGAAAATTAATAACTATGAATTCTGTTCTGCAAGATGAAGGATGAGGCTTAATTTCAGAGAGTAACATCAGAAACATTATACTATTTATATGTAAAATATATATTATATTGCCATTAATGATCAGAGATCCTTTGAAAGGAAAATAGGATCATTGAAATATCAGTAACGCATGCCACAAACCTATAAAAAGACCATGTGAGCTTGGTAGAAATATATTCTAGCTACAGCTACAGAAATGGTTATATGATGAAAGTTTAGTAACGCTGAAAGGGGCACGATTACCTGCCCATCAATTCACTCACTTCATCTGTAAGATTTCTAGCAAACTTCAAGTACCATTTGCAATCCTGATTGATGCTGTGGTGAAATGAAAATGTGAAAGAGTTCTAAAATCCAATCCTAATCAGGAAAGTGGAAAAAAAATTGACAGACAAAATCAAGCTTTAGCCAGATATTTTTGTTTGACACCTGCAAGTGAGATCAGAATTCACATTACCTTGAGAGAAGGATTCACACTTGGATTCCAAGGAAGATTTGCAGTTCATAAGATAATACAGTATAAAGTCGGAAATCCGGATGTCCATTATCCGTAATGATTTAAAATCTGGACCTCAAAGCCACAAACATTTTTTTTTTTTTTTTAATTAATGCTTTACGCATGCACATTTGATTTTTCCTTCCATAATAAAACATGTGGAGATTTTCACTTAGGCACTAAATAAAATACCTCGTTATGGAAAAACAATCATGTAAGCATAAATTTGTGAAATCAAAAATTTGTGAAATCAATAATTTGACTCTGTAGCAAATCAATAATTTGACTCTGTAGCATGACTCTGTATGTTGTATAATTTGACTCTGTAGCAGAGTGTCTTCTTGGCATACATTCACCTATTTCATATCCCTGATGCCGACCTGGCTAGTCATTATATATTATATTTTGCTTTCATCACCGCATGTTTATCAATACATGACAGCTTCAGTAATAACTCATGCTGTGATGTCTAAACTTTTTAATTGAACAACAAGAGTATGGCAAACTTTTATGCTAACATTACGCTTGGCAATGATTATAGATTTTTAAATACTCTAAGAAATGTTGACGAGGAAAAATTCAACAAAAATTTCTTTTCATATGCTAAAAATAGATTTTGTTAATGAAACTCATAGGCCAAAAGATTACATTTAGTGCTATTTTAATTAAGAATAACTGATATGTTATTCACTACAAATCCAAAAGCGGTGGCAGAATATGTCGGCACCAGACGGCAGAATTTAGGGAAGATGAAATTTTTGGAATTTGGGGAAGCACCGAGCAGCAAAATTAAGGGATGAGAAGTTTTTTATGATTTAGGGAAAGCACTGGAATCCAAAGTTTAGGCACGATAAAAATTTAGAACTTAGGGAAGCACTTTGTAGCGGAATTTAGGACCCGTCGAGACTGCACCAGGCGGTTTCAAGCGCCAGCCCTAGATAAAGCCTTAAGTATATGTGTGGGAGTTTATTTATTCAGGACTCATATTAGTTTGAAGCATGTGCAAGAAATAAGAAATAAACGTAGGTATAGTAATACTAAACTAGACTTCAGGCTTAATTCAGAACGCTATAGGAGCAAGACAAAATTTAGCGAAACCAACTTGGGTTTCGTTGCCAATCTTGTGATACATAGCCAATAACGTATAACACACGCTATTAAGTTAGGCTAAAATTATCATTACTGATTCTAAGGCATTTTAAATTAATGTAGCAGACTGCGCTGCTCCCCGATCTTTCTAATTTGATCCAGCTTATTATTTTTTGCAGACTGTTATTATTACAGCAATTTTATAAAAACTAAGCTTGAACTTTCGATTATGTCGAAAAGAGTTTCCAATTCTGGAGTTACAAAAGGGATCTACAAGCGAAACCATGTTTAGAAGTCCATTAAACAAAATGTGGAATTGCTGCAAAAAATGCATACAGGCATATTCCGTCTCAAAATTATGCGAGGAGTATGGCTGAAAGTCCACTGTATATAACACAAGAAAAAGGAACTTTTTGAATTTTTTCTGGAAGCATCTTAAACAACTTACATTGAAAGAAATGTTTAATAAAGTAAACAAATAAATATAAAAGCTTTTTTTTAATACCATTACAATTTCTTTTTTTTTTTACCCTTTAGATTATAATTGTTCTTTATTTCATAAATTATGATTTCAAATTTTTAATTGTATAATTTTTACATGCCATCTTACCAGATTTAAATTGATGATCTATTATCCAGAAAAATCTCAAATCCCGAATTGCCGAAGTCCCGACCAGTCGGGATTTCAGACCTTGTACCGTAATCATTAGGCTAAACTCTGATTAAAATGGTATAAAACATAACACTTATGGACTCTTGAACAATGAAAGAACATCATGTGGTGCAGTATTTACAGTAGTGAATATTACTTAGTAGACTGCATTATTCCTATTGTGAAACTTGCAGAAGAGGAATTATTATATAAGCCTGTTTTATGCACGCTTGGTTCTTTGGCTTTCATAAGCCAACCCTGAATATAAAGGTGTCAGAAATGTCCAGAAATGTTAAGGTACAATGTAAACTTCCAACAGTTGGCACTATTTAAAAAACACCAGTAGAGGGTGCAGAGTTCAGCAGAAGAGGATGTAAAAGATAGTATAGAAGCATTGGTGAAATGTTCCCATCTTCCAGCATGATACTGGATGGGTTACGTATATAGCAAGGGTGGTCACAACGTGGCTCTTACAGGTGAGTGGTTCATCTCTTATGCAACAAAAAGTATATACAGTCAAAAGTCGTTAATCCGGATTCATCGGGACTTCGGCGATTCCAGATTATCGATTCTTCCGGATTATAGATCATCAGTTTAAATCTCGTAAGATGGCATGCAGAAATTCTAAAATTAAAAATATGAAACCGTAATTTATGAAATAAAGAACTATCATAATCTAAAGGGTATTAATTTGGAAAAAAAAAAAAAAAAGCTTAATATTTATTTGTTTACTTTATTAAACATTTCTTTCAATGTAAGTTTGTTTAAGTTGCTTCGTTTTTATGTGATAATACTTTCTCTTTTAATTCTATAAACAGACATAATTTCTTGTTCAGTTACAAAGTTCCGCTGTTCAAGTCCTGTAATTGCTGTGCCGAGAATACCGACTAACTTGTCAATCGAAATTTTTTCGTTTTCACTAACCTCTCTGTCACCTTCTTCATGTCTTTATCCATGTTTTGCAGCAATTCCACTTTTTTTTTTGATGGACATCGGAACATACTTTCGTTTTGTAGATCCTTTGGGAGCTCCAGTATCGGAAATTCTATTTGACATAATCGAAAGTTCAAGTTTACTTTTATAAAATTGCTCTTACAGTCTGCAAAAAATAATGAGCCGGAAATAATTCGAAGATTAAGGAACAACGCAAATATCAACATTAACTGAAATAGATAATTTTAGCTTATACCGTCCGTTATACATAAAACACACACGCGAAAACGTATTCTGCACTTGCGCACACACATATGAGCAGTCGTAAAGGTCTTGTGCGCACGCGTAAACGCCTATGCGCATGTGTCAATGCGGCGCATGGGCAGAAAGTTTTTAGCTTTGAGGTCCGGATTATAGATCATTCTGGATTACGGGTGTCCGAATTAACGACTTTTGACTGTATATGAAATATGGTAAACAACTCAATTTCCAAAAGAAAATAATTTATTTCATTTCTTTTCATAAAATTATTATCAGACTTAAACTGATCAATGTCTAGATGTAATTGTTTTACTCAAAAACATGAAAAAAATTAATGAAAATATTGTACTGATTCTCTCAAACAATTTTTTAATGGAAAATTCTTAAAAGTTAGATTTGCTTGTGATTGCTTTACAAACAGATGAATGCTTTACATGAAGAGTCTGCCGAATTTTTGAATCATTAGTAGCACTAGAAACTACATAGGTGTACTTTGTAGTTTCTAGTGCTACTAATGAAACTACATAGGTGTGAGCAGAACAGAAAATACAAGTAATGCAACAAAAATATTTAATATTATACAGAATATAATACAAGTTAAAAATCATTTTAAAGTTGATTAAACATCCAAATTTATGAGAAATTTAGGGCAACTGGAAGCTTTGAAAATTTTTAATAAATCTAATGACAGTCACGGCTTTGAAGACGATGTTACCATTAGAAAAATTTGGAAATGTGTAAAATTTAAGATAACATATATACTGCTAGCTTACTGTGAAATAAGTATGCAAGATAATTACAGTATAATTGAGGTAGCAGAAAAATTATTTGAGCAGCTGTGACACAGATCTTAGAAGAATATGAAGTTTTATGAGAGATACAAAGCTATGAATGATGAACATTTACAAGAAGCGATCACTGAAGAACTGAAGTACTTAAAAACTGAAAAAGACTGCATCAAGCTATAATTAGAAAAAACAAAGAAACCACAAAAATTTATATTATCTTCAATGCATCGTCACATGCCGAAGGTAAACTGTCAATGAATGACTGTTTACAATCAGATGTTTCTTTATATTTGAAACTTGTTTCGCTACTTTTAAAATGATATAAATATAGACTCATGGCTTTTGGAAAAACTAGATGCGGCACAGGAACTTTTCTCAGCGCCAACATGTGGTTCTTGCTGACATGAAGTTCGAAAAACACAGATAGAGGGTGGTGAATACAGTCAAAAGTCGTTAATTCGGACACCCATAATCCGGAATGATCTATAATCCGGACCTCAAAGCTACAAACTTTCTGCGCATGCATCGCGTTCACGCATGCGCACAGGCGTTTACGAGAGCGCGTAAGACCTTTACGGCTGCAAATATTGTTGTGCACATGCGCGTTTAATGTGTAAACGGAGGTATAAGCTAAGCTAAAATTATCTAATTCAGTTAATGTTGCAGATTGCGTTGTTCCTTAATCTTCGAATTGGATCCGGCTTATTATTTTTTTGCAGACTGTTAGAGCAATTTTATATAAAAGTAAGCTTGAACTTTCGATTATGTCAAATAGAATTTCCGATATATATTTACTAATATGTAATTTGGATCTACAAAGCGAAAGTATGTTTTGAAATCCGAAATCTGTTTATCAATTTCACGCCGCGGGATTGGAATGAATTGGAAGTTGATCTGTCAGCACTATCCTTATCTTCAGGGCAGATGTTTTTATTTTATTTGGCTTATAATTCCTTACTAAAGTGTAGTATATTTCATCTCGATGTACTCCGTCTTTGATATGATTTAAATCAAGTTCCTCGTCATTATAATTCGCTTCCGATAGTGAAGAAAGTGACAGAGGTTATTGAAAACGAAAAAATTTCGATTGACAAATTAGTCGGTATTCTCGACACAGCAATTACAGGACTTGAACAGCGGTAAACTGAACAAGAAATTATGTCTGTTTATAGAATTAAAGAGAAAGTATTATCACATAAAAACGAAGCAACTTAAACAACTTACATTGAAAGAAATGTTAATAAAGTAAAGTAAACAAATAAATATTAAGCTTTTTTTTTTTTTTTTTTTTTTTTTTTTTTTTTTTAAATTTTGATACCCTTTAGATCATAATTGTTCTTTATTTCATAAATTACGGTTTCATATTTTTATATTTTATATTTTTTAATTTTATAATTTCTGCATGCCATCTTACCAGATTTAAATTGATGATCTATAATCCAGAAAAATCGATAATCCGGAATCGGCGAAGTCCCGACGAGTCCAGATTAACGACTTTTGACTGTATATGAAAACTATATACTGAAGCGATACAGATAATAGCAAAGATAATATTGGACAATTCTATGCTGTGCACCTTATCGTAACAGTTTATAACTGGGTCTTACCATTCGCAACTTAGCAATACACCTATTCACAGAGCAAAAACCATAACTGAATGCTTTTGAAGTAATCAGGATGAATAAATCAAATGATTTACCTAAAGCCTTGACCTCAACCTAACTAAACATCTCCAAGACAAGTTATAACACTGATTGAAAGTTAGCCCAAAGCATCCTGAAACTGTTGCATGAGCTATGAAAGAAAATATTGGTAGGAGTTCAGAGGAAAGTTTTTTTCAAAGGATAGAGACTATCTTAATGGCAAATGCCAGACCTGTATCATATTAATACCATACCATTCCGTTAAGCTATTTCCTATGGATGTCTTATCATTAATGGCAACACATTGTATGTATTGACAGAAATACTAGTATTTATATAAGCTTTTACAAATGCTTACATGATGAATGAACACAAAATATGTTTATGCAAATTTATTAACACTTTTATCATTTCTTAAAATAAAAGACCTCTTATTAAAAGAGTATAAAACTTAAAAAATTGTCTTGAACTGAGAAAAGTCAACTAAGAGTTACTTTATTTTAGACACTTATAAAATATGAAAATGCTAAAATGTAATTCAGCACAGAGCAATCATTATAAAAATAAAATTACTTGTCAATCATGTAGCACTTATTTAAATTGAAAGTTCCTTTAAAATATAAAAACAGCAGTTTGTGAAACAGATTCCAGTTTTAAAAAAAAATCAAATGCAAAGCCTGCTTCAAGAAGTATATTTCTTAAAGAAAAATTCATACCCTTTTTAAATTTTCAGGTAAGGATGAACTGGCTTCACCTTCAAATCTAAATTGACTCTAAAACAAAAGTTTTTTAAAAATTAATAAAGCAAGCACTTTTTCCCTACATAATGCTACTTTATACTTGAATAAGCAAAAATACACTCACAGATAAAATTTATTCATGATTAATTATTACCTGATAACCTGGACCTAATCTATGGATGGCACAGATTTGATGAGTAGTTAGGGCTTCACTAAATAAGTACATAGCTGACATCTGACCACAGAACACATGCTCTTCCTCCAGTTCAGGAGCAGCACCAATGTAACATTTATCAAAAGGCTTTGAAAGAAAATGCATAAAAATAATTCTTTAATAAACTGAAATATAAGCACACAAAACTTAATAAAAAATTATATGCAAGCTCAGATTTTAATAAAAATTATTGGTATTAAATTGGATACATGGGTTCACTATATGAAATGAAGCAAAAGTCTTGACAGTGAATTTGCCAATCATTATAGACATTTTAAAACAGGGTTAAGTATCAGGCTTCTTTAATGACTGTAGTGCACTGTACTCTATATTCTCGCTCAGCCAAACTATCTTTAAATAGTTCCCAAAAAATGAAAGGTATTGGGGCTGGTGATCACAGAACCTTACTTAACATGGACATGTTCTTCAAGTCAGGAGTTACAGAAACTGTCAATTCAAACACAAACACTCCATTACCATTATTTCTGTGCAGACTTTTGCATTATTCAGTATAGTAAAAGTTCAATATCCTTCGGAAGTGCCAAATTCTGAATAGTCGAGCATATAAAAAATGGAATTCATGCTAAAATAGCCAAAAGAATGGGAAATTTTTTGCTCTAAAATTATAAAAACAATCATCATATGTGCTACCAGCTTGAATATCAAATGCCTAAATTTAAAATTATATCAGATTTTGAAAAAGAAAAAAAAAAGGTATTTCAGACATAAAAGCAGACATATTTCATAGTTTTTACATATAAAAAAAAACATAACCTTAAATATATAAAACATTTAGTCCAATTATGAAATTCAGCTGAACATGAAAGTTGGAGGATATGTCACCAATCAAATCATTCTGGCAGACGTTTAAATAAACAGGTCATTCTTTATTTAGTTAGAAAATAAGGTGATACATATTACATATTATGGATATAGCATATAAAGAACTTAAGTCATAATTTTTTACATTACACTTCCATTACTTACTCGTTTTCAAAGTCATGTATTGTAGCTTTTTTTAACGCCTGGATTTTGTAATTTTTAAAATACACTAAGTTATCTGTCCCAAAAGCAAGGAAAAATTGGAATTCATAGCCTCCTTTACAAAAATTAAACCGGCTTATTGAGAACTACTTGAGTTTACATTAAACCAAAATGAACTTTTTAAAATTATGTTGTGATGCCATGTTTGTCCATTATCAGTACTAAATCACACTGTTCGGCAACAATGCACACCCATTAATAGTATTACAAGTTCTGTAGCGGCATTATACATCTCTCATTACTAAAAGAAAAAATTTCTAAAATTCTAAAATATTCTGGTTACTTGAGCTTTCCAGTTAGTTGCTGAATAGTTGGATTTTATTGTATTTCTGAAATGTCATCACTATTAAAATAGTTTTGCTTTGTTGGTGATGAAGAAAAACCATTGACAAATTGCATCAACAAGCATTGTGATCAATACCACATAACACATGAAAAAACAATAAATAAACACAATAAAGTACTAAAAAGTATCTAGTGCATAGCATAACTATATTCACAAGTACTAGGTTTCTGCAACATTTTATTTATATTTACATATATAGTAAATATATTTTATTTATATTTACATATAATGATTGACAAGTACGAGACAAAAGACAAAAACCTTTAAAAACTTACCTCATTATTATTCACTAGCCAGCTCATCTCTGTAGTTGATGCCAACTGCCCATTTACAAAGCATTTAATCTCACTTTTGCTCCAACGGTTATAAATATATACAATAGCAATCATATACCACTGCAACATAAATTCAGTTCAAAAATTAAATACTATCTACAATATCAAATGTTATTTACATCCTTAACTTGTTTAGTGCAAATTAAGCAGAAATAAATAAAATGCTTATGGAACTGAAAATGATAGCATGAATAAAATTTCAAGAACATATAATAAAAAGATAGGTTCAAAAATCGCACTAATTCAATATGCGCCCATATGATATTTCATTTTCAATAACATATTCTGCAGTCAATAAGTACTATAATTCCATAAAAATTTAAATATACCAATACAAAGATAATTTTGTCAATCAAACTGAATTTAGACAAATAAACAGTATGTTCAGGTACATTACTTTAGTTGCTAATTCAGGAGTTTTCAAATCATTTTAACATTACTATATCTTTATAAAACTAATAACTTTAAGAATTGTTTTAAAAATAATTCTAAACTAAAATGTTACAATACATACCTTACGTGGTTGAAATTCATATTTTACACAGTGTTGATAACCTTTGCCTTTTACTCTCATGGATGTGAATACAAGACAATTACCTACAAAATGTGCAGAGTAACCAACCCCTTTTGATGTGCGAAAACTGAAAAGTAAAGCAGAATGTTAAATTCAGGAAATTTTTGAAATTAAACTCATTAAGCATTCTAGTTTGTTTGAAACTTTAAACTTCCCGGCATGGTTCCGCTACGTAGACGATACTTTTACCCTGTTTGAAGGTAATAAAGATGATTTAAATAAGAGTTCTTTCAACAATGAATTCTATTGATCCTGCTATTCAGTTCACTTTTGAACTTGAGACTTGCAATTCTCTTCCGTTTCTCGACATTCTGGTCACACGTAACACATCCAACTTCAGTACTACAGTTTACCGTAAACCTTCATCGGTTTGCCTTCCACCACACTTTAAATCATGTCATCCGACTAAACAAAAGTTAGCTTCATTTTATTCCTATGTTTTCCGTGCTCTTCAAGTTTGCTCCTCCAAACTAGCCCTTGATGAAGAACTAAATTATTTAAAAGCAATAGCTATTGACAGGGGCTTTTCACCCAACATTATTAATCAAGCAGTTAAAAAATTCTCATCTCAACACACTAAAAGCCACACTCTTATTTTAGGAGATTATAAAAATTCTGTTGTCATTCCCTTCTTTCCATCAATTAGCTATAAAGTTGCACATATTTTGCAGAAATTTAACTTTCGGGTTGTTTTTACTCTCCCATCAATAAAATTCCAACTTCTATACTCAAGGACCCCATTCCGGATATGAATTCCTGGGGTATTTATAGGATTCCTTGCCAGTGTGGTTTAATTTACATTGGCCAAACTAAGAGAGCCTTAAAATTTCGCGTCAAAGAACATGAGGCATATGTTAGAAAAAAGGAAACACAGAAGTCTTCTGTTGCTCAACATTGTTGGTCCGAAAATCACACTTTCAATTTTTCTGCTGCCAAAATTATTCAAAAAACATCTTCCATTGGAGAACTGGATTTTCTAGAGGCATTTCACATTCATAAAAATCTTTCTGTTCTAGTTAACGATCCTAATTCCAATCCAAATTTGCCTTCGGCTTTTAAGAGAAATTATGTTTTAGTTCTGGTTTCGCCAACAGATGGCGCCACTTGCTTATTCTTGTCCAGGCTTTCTTATCTTATCTAATCATTATTTCCTATCTTGTTCATTTGCGGTTTTGCAGCTGAAGATGGATGGTTCGGTAAAACCATCGAAACTAGTCCTGTGAAAATTTTGTAAATATAACGCTGATTTTTGTTGTTTGACTTCTGAATAGTATTTATTCGGCGTGTTATTGTGTCTTAGCAAAGGTCCCGAAAATTCGTTTTTGGGCCAAGAATGGGCCCATCCAATCGAAATTGAGGTAACGGGTGGAGTAACAGGCGAAATGGTGTCGTCTTATCAAGTAGCATGGAAAACCACAATATGGAAGGAGCGCCGTCCAAGTTCTTCAAGGACGGATATCAACACGGCACGTGTTGAAGAAATTATCCAAAGGGATCGACGAGCAACCGTGCGTGAGATTGCCTCAGAGCTGGACCTGAGTTATGGTAACGTTGAGCGTATCAGAACCGATGAGTTGTGATATTCCAAAGTTTGTGCCCACTGGGTTCCACGTGCGTTGTCCGCGGAGCAAAAGGCCACTTGAATGACATGCAGCCTCACATTTCTTCAGCGATACCATTCAGACGGCCAACACTTCATTGATCGCATCGTTACCAGTGATGAAACATGGCTTCATCACTTCACCCCCACATCCAAAAGATCCAAGATGGAGTGGAAACACGCTGGATCACCGACGAGAAAGAAGTTTAAGGTCACACCCACTGCCGGTAAAGTGATGGCAACCGTTTTCTGGGATACGACTGGTGTTATCCTAATCGAGTATTTGGAGCGTGGCCATACCAGTAAGGCTGATCGTTATTGTGCCACCTTAACGAAATTGCGTAAAGCCATCCGACGCAAATGGCCTGGATTACTGAGCAAAGGCGTCATTCTTCTGCATGACAATACCAGGCCCCATACAGCTCGCCAGACTCAGAAATTGCTGCAAAGGTTCAAGTGGGAGGTCTGGAATCACCCCCATACAGCCCCGATTTGGCTCGAAGTGTCTACTTCATTTTTCTGGCTTTGAAGCGATACTTACCCAGAACACGGTTCACCTCAATCGAAGCAGTGAAAACAGCTGCCGAGAAATGGCTCAATGAGCAGAGCCCTGATTACTACCAAGACGGGATAAACAAGTTGTTCGAATGTTCTGACAAATGCCTAAACAGGTTTGGCGACTATGTGGAAAAGTGAGGGCCAGATGTGTCTCTTGATTCCCATTTGTATCTTGTTTCTATTGTTAATAAATACTTTTTCATTTGTCTTGTAAACGTTTTTTTGGATCAACCCTCGTATTTATCTTTTTATTGTTGCTATTTTTTATATTGCCAACAAATATGATTTTTTAAAGTCAGCTGATAGTTAGCCATTTATTTGGCAAGCATTCACTATAAATTACAGCTGGATCCATTAGCCATCTCTTAATGCTTATTACCCTGTCTTCTTCCAGACAAATGTTCCATGCTGGGTACATAGTCATCAAGGTACCCAACGTAACGAAAGGACCGACTCTTTAGCTAAAGAAGCCACAAGTCATGCTTCCATCGACTCGAAGATCCCACTCTGAATGGTCGCTGCCCAACACCAGCTCTTCTGTGCCTTCATGCCCATCTGGCAAGTTTGCTGAGACAACTCAGACACCGGTCAACACACCTACTCCATCTTTCCCATGGTTTTCACCAAGAGGCTCAAAACAGACTTCTATCTACAACAAGCTTTCACAAATCACGGAGGATTTCCCACATACCTCAGCAGATTCTGCCATCAAAATGTCAAATGAGCCTGTGGTGTCTCAGCTTCTTCAGTAGACGTGTCCCATTGCATCCCCAACTGCCCTACTCACTTCTCCCATCACAGCCTTCTTTCCTCAGCTCCAGGGATCACATAGCCTCAAAGACCTTCTTCAGGATTACTACGGACAGTGGGGAGTCAGAACCATCATAGAGTATGCCTATTCTAAGAGAAACATAATCATAGCAGATAACTAGATCTAGGCACCTGACAAAATGTAAAGGCAGCAAGTCTCCATTCGTGTATATATGTAAATATCTCTAAACTAACTAACCCTTTTTGCTAATTTTATACTAACATACCCAAAACACTGTAAGCTGGAGGGTTCGAACAAAAGTAATACACTAATGTTAAATCTGTTTATTAATAATAAGGTTGAAAAGATAAACAACCAAAAAAAAAAAAAAAAAAAAAAAAAAAGGTAGCTGGTGCAACGATCAGGATAACATGACTGACATGTAGTGCCCATTGAGAAGGGAATCAGGTGGAATAAGAATAAATAAAAAAAATAAATAGCCATATCCTTCACCACAAACAATGCACTGCAGGAAATGACCAACATTACAATTACATAGAAGAAGGAAACCAACCCACAAACAGAATTTGAACCAGTACTCTGATTTTGGATTATATGAAATTAATAATTTATTTGAAATCTGACACTGTCACTTTCCAATACATTAGCATGAATTACTTTGTTTCTCAAACTGGTGCTTTGACTGATAAAATAAACTCTTTGTTTGCTTTACAATATACTAGTCAAAAAAATGAATCAAGAGCATGATTTACATTGAATGATAATATTTGAAAAAGTTCACTTACCAAAAGAGGTAAGGTTTCTCCCTTTCAATATTCACACTATTTATTGGATCTAACCTAAACCATGTGCTAAAGGTCCAACCATTCTGGTATGGCCACCTTGCTAATGGAGATAACGCAATTGCCTGAAAAATTTTAATTAATTAATGTTGTTATATTACTAAAACTAATCTTTATTTGGAAACTTTCTCTAACAATTACAAGAAATAATAGAAAATGATTAATAATTATGGCAGACATACTAAAAAGGAAAAAAAAAAAAAAAAGTGATTACAGCAGAACTATCCAAAGTAAGTTCACTTTTTTGTTGCATGTGAACATGTGTTGGAGTGTTCTCCTTAAACTTTCTTAGCTGAACATTGCTCCTTCATTATTTATAAATGGTTTTTATGAGGGATATTTCCAAAGTTCTGGGAAATTAGATATAATTTCTTTTCATTTCATCAATATCAAAATGTCGTTTTTCAGCATAATACTCATTTAATTGAATATACTCATCTGAAAAAAAAAATTAATTTTTTACACCAGCTTTAAAAAACTGTTTGGTGTCTCAAGTCCTCTATTTAAAACATGGTTAAATCCTACAGTAAGTTTTTTTTTTTTTTTTTTTTTAAACTTTTATGTGGGAACATAATACTTCCTGCAGACATAGAATTCTTAAGTTTTCCCAGAAAAAGAAAAGGGTTGCTCTATGTATCTTCCATGGTTGCAAACATAATGCTACAAAAATGTGCCTGCATCAATCAAGCAGTGATTTGGATAAACAACATTGCATGGAATAGCAGCATAAGCATGTCAAGACTTGTCTCTGGCCAATAGTAGTCTCTTTGCCTGCAATTTCATAAGTACTGAATTATAGCTTAATTCCTAGCATATTGAGAATACCCTACATAGCAATATGTATCTATTGGCTGTTTCTTCCAAAACTTACTCTAGTTACGTAAAATCACAAATAATAAATGCTATTCATGCAATATATATAAATATATTAAACTCATAAATTACCCACACTATCTAAATATAACTGCTCTCAGAACATAGTTTCAATGCAGAGAAAAAACATATTTCCAATAATAATATGTACTGCATAATGCATCCTACATTTACGTTCTAAATTATCTCTCATAAATAAAACAGTAAAGAATTTTTATGTTGAACTCAACAATTTCCTTTCCTTCTTATACATTCAAGTTATGAAATCTAATAATGAATTTCACAAATCTTTTTCATAAAACATTTGCCGTCTCCTTGCACTCACAAATCCATTTTGCTCAAACATATAAACGAAAACAAAATAAAACAAAATGAAAAATATGCAACCTTTTACATGATTATTTGTTGTGCAAGTCATTTAGGTTTTGCCCTTATGACAAATGAACTCAGTATTTTGAAACAGGAAAAATCATTAGGTTTATTTCAAAATGGCAGCAGTACAGCTGGGATTTGAACTCCAGATTTCTCAACTACCAGTTGGATATGCTTCCTGTTACACTACAGAGGCAAGTAATAAGGAGAGGGAAATTCCTCACATTCTCCCCCACTTAAAAAGGCAACTAGGAAGAACAGATTCAGTCAACAAATCCAGATGGTGATAAAATAGCATCTACAACATTTTAATTTAGGTATTTCTTCATTTTGGTTTATTTTGAAGCCAAGAACACAAAACATTAGTAATGCCCTTCCCAGGATGTGAACTCTGGAGTTTCCAATTAGTAGCCAGGCATGCTTCCATTTACGCTGTGAAGGCACATGGCACAGCAGAAAATTTCTTATGAAGGTACTGCTATTTCCTGCAGTTAAGCTTCTACCATCACAGATACTGTGTATAAGACGCTTAACAAATCTTCACCACCCGCAACTTTAAATCTCTAAGAATACCTCAATTTCTTCTACTTGCATTCTACTCATCCCTAAACCCAGCCAGTTAGTTCATAAATGATTCAAGCAGTATGACCTTCTGATTTCCTTTAAATCTGTTGATAAAAACAAGTTATCATTTATCAAAGACCAAATACTGGATTTTCATTTATGAGGCATTTATAAAATCCTTGTGAATATGACTTGCATACACAGGATAAACTAAAATCTTTAAAATTAAGAATTAACAAGTACATATAGTGTATTAAACAGAAGGATGTGGAAAAGGCTTCTATAGCTTTCCATACTTGGAATAAACCTACAAATTTCAGCTTTTGGAGTCCAGAACTATTGCTCAGTACTAATTTGTGCCTCAGTTTGGATTTTTTAGACACTTCCAAAAATTTTTATGTATAGTAATCGCATGAATCATACAGTCTCCAGGCACTAAAAAGGCAACAATTTGATAAATTTGGATTAAGCTCCAACAAAACTACAGTCAATGCTATATTTTTATTTATTTTTGTAAACTATTTTGCTTAACTTTTTTGTTGAGGTTAAAAATTTCTTACATTTTAAATTAGTCTTTAAGAGCCAATAAGGTAATGAAAGCAAATATATATACTTGTAGCATATAGATAATTTTATTACTATAATACTATAAGAGATAAAGGGAGGAAGAAAATTATGCTCTACACAAAAGGACTGCATAAGTAATGTAATGCTGATCCAAATGGGACATTTATATCTTTGTTCTTAGTTAAAATTGTCATGGAATTATTCAGCATGGAAATACGCAGCTGTATTTGACCATCTTATGTCCCATTCTTCTTTTATGGACATTTGAAAATTATATAAACATTTTAGTTCCTTAATAATAGTAAAAGAACACACTGAAACATAAATAGGGGGGGGAGGGTTCAACTGTAATGATAGAGTTAAATCTCCTCACTGAAAATTCAACATGTAAGAAAATTTTCAAAAAGTAAAGAACAGGTTACAACACACAAATAAAAGTATTAAATTTATATTTCAATTATAAATAAAAATATTTTGTCATTAAGAATCCCTATGTGAAGTCAGACAACATGTTAAATTCCAAAAAAAAATGCAAATCAATATCTAGAATTCTTCCAAAAAAAATCTAAGTAAAAAAATGTAATGTGAAATTTTTTTAATACTTACAGCACCCTTTTTGCCTGAAAAGCTGAAGAATGTATCTGGGCCATGCCTCTGTGGTAGCTGTCTTAATACTGATAAAAGTTTAACAGAATGCCTTGGCTGAAAGTAAGAACATATTCTATAAATATAGAGAGTTTAAAACACAGTAAATATTCATTTTATTTAAACAATAACATAATATTTATAGTATTATGAAAATAATAATAAAAAAGTACTTTTAATGCAACATCTGTAATTTTGCGCCTGTCATCATTTTAACAGCAACAAACATCAAAATTCTAATTTCCTTCTTAAAAAATTGTAAGGACAATCGACAGCACTAGATCGACAGATACCAGATGCTTTTCATGCAAGCAATCCTACATACCTAAGCCAAATTTTGTATTTTCACATACAAAGAGAGCTGCTTGGTATGAGATCCAAAATTATAAAATAACAGCTTGAAAGTATTTGCTACACAAACCTTTGGTTCAATCTTTCTGAGGTAGAAGCCTCAGCCAGCGAACCATTCTCTTGAGATGGCACCTTGACAGGATGCACTGCTTTGTTGAGACAGGCAATTTGCACTGTTAAGCCTAACTCTGGAAAGTATTTACTAAATAAAACTTTGGTTTAATCTTTTTGAGATGGATGCCTCAGCCACAAAACTGTTTCCCTGAGATGGTCGGAATGCTCTGTCTTGTTGGAACAGGCAATTTGCACAGTTAAGCAGAATTTCGGGGGAAAAAGTTGCATAAATTAAATACATGGTCTAATTGTTCCAGTTTTTAGCACATAATGAGAGGAATACTCAGGCTATTGACAGAACTAATTTGAAAATTTTATCATTATATTTTCCTTGCCATCTTAAACATAAAAACAACACACAAAATATTCACCTCAACACTAGCCAAACTCTAAGAGGAATAAATAAAACCTCTAAAAGAGTACTACCCCATATTTCCAAAAATAAAAACGAAAGTATTCAGAAGCATCAAGAACATCGCATGTCTATCAGCTGACACAAATAATAGCTAGTTCTGTTTATTTACTTCACTCAATCCAAGATTTCTACTTTGATTCTGAAACAAAATACCAAAATCAAAAATACCACACTGAAATGAAGGTCCGCATTCTCCAGTCTCAATAAATTTCACCATAACAGACACATGGCTATATCTAGTTGAGGGAGAAAAGGGAGACAGAGATACTAATTAAACGTCCTATCTAAATATTGATGTGTGGTGTACCCATCCTAACACTGCATTGAAACAGCAATGCATATATGAAACACCCAGCTCTGTGATACAGTTGGCGGCCAATGCATATATGACACACCCATCTCAAAAGAATTAAATTATTACAAAAGAAAAATCATGGGAAATTTGATCATACTATAACTGTCTCAATGTTTTTTAAACAGAGATATTGTTAAAGACACAAAAATATCCAGACAGAAGCAGAACACATTCCATGTTTTTTTATGAAGCACATTCAGTTTAACTGTAATGTCATATGCAGGTTTTTAGTTACTGTAAATCATCTGTCATGACTTTTGCTATGCAAAAACTTTTAAGTAACCTTCAAGACACTAGCATGATAAGACCTACAGCTTAAGTTCTGTCTACACATGGAGTTATATCTTTCAACAGTCTTCCTCATATGCATGTCTCCTGACAGCATTTCATCTACACAGGGAGATTTGTATTTAAGTTTCTCTGAGCTACTAAGCCAATCACAGTAGTAAAAAAAGATTATCTGTTTTGCATCTAATAGGAGATCTCCATAGATCTCACAACAAACATGATAATTTTCAAAGTTTTCAATGCCTTTATTTTTCAAGGCTTATTTTTTTAAAAATCAGTTGTAATAATAATAACATAATTGGACAAAATTCCAATAAAAATGGAAAATATGTGCAAAATAAATAAATAAATAAATAAAAAGATAAAACATATAAAACTGTTAATTAAAAAAATAAAGTTAATAAAGCAGGAAAAGAAAGTGTTTAATTGTGAAATACAATTCACATATATATTATATAAAATATTAAACTTTAAAGTACTTGTTTTAATTTGTGCATATCCACTCTTTATTCTAAAAATAGTAATAATTTTTTCCTAAACTGCACAACTAAAAAACTAATCTGCATTGCACAGAACTCTTGGCCAACAACTGTTCATAGCTTAAAGGAAGGATTCTGATCTTATATATATGCTGAAGTGTGTATTCACATTTTCTACTCAATTTTGCCTGGCTAATTCCTGTCTTGTCACTTTGCTGCATTTTCTATTGTTTAAAAATGTGATAAGTGTATATAGAATTGTGGGTGCTTCCTGTCTTATCACTTCACTGTATTTCTATTGTTTAAAAATGTGAAAAATGTATATAGAATTGTGGGTGCTTTTCGCACCCATAGTGATGTGGGAATCAAGAATTCATGGCCTAAGAAATTATTTTTCAAGAAAATAAAATTATCCAGCTATTTGTGGTTTTCCAAATTCTATCCATCTAATATGCATATGATTTATGTGTGAGTAACGTCTTTCTAAAACATGGCCATGACTAAGAATGCACACATGCAATAGTTTTGTAGATGATGGTTGAAAATTTAAAGACAGCAATATTTTAGGATGTATGGGAGAGATGAAACATATTTTTCAGTCATGGCTGAGATAGCTGTAGATGTTGCTGGCATACAGATGGGATGTTTAATACACGAATGTCATTTGGAGACGAAAAGTAGTTGTAGACTCACAACATAATTCTACTTCTTGATGAATATGTTTTTAGGACACATATTCTCCTTTACACATCACTATGGCTGCAACAAAGCATTCCACAGAAAAAGCTACTGTGCATTTCAGCAAATGGATAGTTATAGTGTTCAAACTTTGGATTGCGATTGGACAAGAGTTTATTGCATTACAGATTACATAATTTGGATTAGTTTTCAAGTGACGCAGTTTTCAAGTGACGCAGATTCCAGGACAGGGAAGTAACCAAATTTAAATCAGGAATTAAAAGGACTACTGCAACAACTTAGTAATTTTCTTTCAAATTTTATATCCTACATATACACAATGATCACATAACAGAAGAAAATAATTTGATTATTTCATATATAGCATAAAATATAACACACATCTGATAAGTAGATGCATAATAAAGCACCTTTGTAGGCACATGAAAGAGAAGAAAAAACATTTATAAACAATGTAAAAATCTAATATTATATTTATAAATAATATAAAATTATTGTACAACAAAATTAAATGATGTAAAATTTTATATACAACAATGTAAAGAACAATATTTTATGTATAAGAATAAAATAATGTAAAATTATTATATATTACATCGTAAAAATTGAAAGCTAAGAGCCCAATGACCTAAAAAAAACCTAATAACTTTCAAAAAGGAATTTTTCAGTTCAGGGATGGCAAAAAGTCATAGAACAAAATTGTGCTTCTGTGATTCAGTGAAATTTCCCTTCCCCCCCCCATTGCTTCATTTGCTTTATAATAAAAAACACATAAATTTCCAGATGATCCAATGCATAAAACAATTATATGCAATTCAAAATATCTTTCAAAAAAATTCCGTCATACTCACCCACTTTCCATTTTCTGCTTTCATACAACCAGATAAAAGCTTAAGCTCTCTAACAGTTATACTATAACTAGCTAAAACTCCTAAAATTTCAATCAAGAGATCTAGAATATAACAAAAAAAGAAGTCAACCACAAATTAGAATGTGCATACTTTACATATAAAATTATTAACCTAATACTCATATATAATATTAACACACATCACAATTATGAACAATATAAGACATTACTAAGTTCCTGTATGTAATGCGATTCTCAAGAATGAATTTTAGCTTCAACAGAAATTATTACTAAAAACATCTCAAATGGTTATATTTAATATATCGTCCATTTATTTTTAAAAAAATTAAAAGGAAGTCTGATTTAATTTTGCACAGCTGACAGGCTCAAAATATAAACAGTGAAAAGAAATAAAGCTTAAAAGAAGCAACAGACCACATAAATTATATGTGGATATATCTATTATAAACATGCTGGAGATTATACATTACACGAAAATGAATATATTTGAATACAGAGTTCTGTTTTCGAGCAAATCAGATAAATTCTGACTCCGCAAAAATTGAAAGTGAAAAAGTAGAGAAAAAGAATCCTTCACACTAAGCTCTTTGAAAGAGATTAAAGGTGTTTAAACATACATGGACCGTAAGCTTCACTATTCACTTTAACCACTCAGCTTCAGAAATGCTGGAATAGGCCCTGGTTGTCATCATGATCACATCCTACCCCTTTCGACAACAAACACCATGGCCATTATTAAATAAAATGTGAAATTTATCATGAGATAAAACATGAGTAATGCAAATAAAAACACCCTGACAAATTAATTTTGACTTTTTGTGGGATTTTGGTTTTGTTTTGTTACAAATATTATACGATTGTTGCAATAACTTTTATCTTAATTCTTGAAATTAAAAATTCTTACATGCAAATTTCTTATAATGGAAGTTCATTGTATTATTACAATATTTTACTCCATGAGCAATAAAATTTCCTTTTAAACCTCTCTTCAAAAATATCTCAAAGAAAAAAAAATTGCCAGTAAATATTGACAAAATAGTACTAATGCAATCTTAGCTATACTAATTTAAATCTTAGCACAAACTAATTTTAATAATTTATTGGTCGAAAAGCATTCATAAATTTGTTTAACAAAAGAACTGCATATTATATTTTTAAAAGAATATCTAGTAATGATGTTGCATGTGATCTACTGCTTTTAGCTGGTTACTTGTTAGATGGTGATATTAAAAATGCTAAACCGATATAAAATAAAGATTAACAGATGCTGCATAGAATTATATGTAGCAGCTATAAGACATTTAACAGAATTTAATATTCACATTATATGTTCTACACAGAACTTATATAAACAGTATTTATAGTTCTTACTTATAGTATTTTTCCAAACAAAAATTTACCTGCTACAACTTCTTCAACACGTGGTAACCTAGACAGAACATGTTTGATAAGTCCAACATCTGTACAAGCTTGAAGATTTCGAAGACTCTTCCTTAAAATTGCAATAAATACACTCCACACTTCAGCCTAAAATAAATAAATATAGAAAAATAAAAGCAATATCTCAAGTTTTTACCCTACAAAGACACGGTATGAATATTTTTGGGGAGGGAAAAAAAGCAGTCTTTACCTGCAAATTGGACGGGCAGTGATCCAACAAATCTAACATATGAACTATATTTTGCGGCTGTTGAATGACAAAATTTAGTTCCATGTCAAACTCACCCCCAACCAACTGGAAAGAAAGAAAAATGACATTAAATAAAATGTAATGTTTTGATATGTAACTCATACATATGATTTTTAAATGCTTAAATACAAAAGAAAAAAATGATAAAATTATCAAAATCCACTCACTTAAGGATAAAACTCTAAAAATTTTTTAAATACTTCAAGATTAACTGAAAACATGATCCAAATTTATATACATAGAATGTTTAAAATACCCACATTCTCCAACATGAAATAAAATACTACTAACTATTACATATAGTTGATTAGCACCGAAAGCTTGAGTTCATACGTTACACATGGTCATTTGTTACTGAACTATCTCTATGGAGGCAGTTTAAAATCTGAGCCCAATTAAGCCAGTCTGAAGATTAATTACTCATGCCACTTACTTATGCACAGACTTTTTTTTAACAACTTGCCACCTTTCTTGCTTTTACGAAGGAAAAACAGAATTATGAGAAATTAAGGAAGAATTTTCACCGCAAATAATCTAGGACCCCAGACACAGACTTTATAGCCCAGGATATAATTATGCCCTACTTAAATTACATTGGTTCAAAAGATTTCAAAGTTTAAGCTGTTTCAACTTATCTTCTCGGATATTATCAGTCCAAACCGGAATTCTACCGCAAAAATTAAAGTAGAACCCCTAGATATTGTCACCACATGTACACCTTGCACAAAAAAAAAAAAAAAAGAAGAAGAAGAAGAAGAAGAAAACAGCTCTATATCTTGCGTTCTACCGATTGTCGAAATTTAACTTGCGTTTTCCATGTCTCGAAAGCGCGAATTAGGATATATATTAGATTTATATATAGCATTGTTCTAGCATGAGTATTTTGACACAAAATCGGACTTTTTCTGAAATAACATACCAATTTTTATTTCCATATTTCGATTCTACGACACAAATTATGCCTAGATATTAAATTTTGTAACTTTTGGTGAGAAATTTAAAAATTTATCTCGGCGCATGTTTTTCAGTTTAGGCCAAGAATAATTCACTTGGAGAACTTCTTAATTTTATAGCAACCTATTTTCTTTTCCTTTTTTTTTTTTTTTTTTTTTTTTTTTTTCATTGTACAGGATTTAACAAACTGTGCAAACCACATTTGGCGTTATTATCGCGTATAACATATATGCCAAATTTCAAAATGAGTCAATATATAAATTCACGTATATCTTAAGAAATTTTTAATAAAAAATTCTAATTTTTTTCAGGTATGCTTAGAAATACATCCACTTTAAGATGCTAGTAAACATTTTATAGGTTATAATTCAAAATTTTTTTCGAAAAATTTATTAAAATTATCTTAAAATACAAATTTTAAAAATAAATCATAAAAAATGGGCGAATTTTAATTGGAATGAACCTAAATTCCGAAATGTGAAAGGAAGAATCAAATATGGTTAATAATAAAGAGATATGAATAAATATATTCCAAATTCAATTAACTTGGGGAAGGTAACATTTTTAGAGCTAGTTTTTTAAAATCTCATGCGATTTTTACAAATCTTAGCACTTTTGCATAATTTGAGTCGTAGAATCGAAACAGGAAAAACAAAATTAGTATGCTATTTCAGAAATGCTTTGATTTTTTGCCAAAATACCTATGTTAGAGCAATTGTTATACATAAACCTAATAAATATCCTAAGTCGCGCTTTCGAGAGACAGAAAACGCAAGTTAAATTTCGACAATTGATCACGTAGAACGAAAGATATAGAACTTTCTTTTCATTGTTATTTATTTATTTAGTACTTAAGAAATAAGATGGCAATGATAATGACTAGAACGATGGATAGATGCAATACCTGTTCCATTACTGGTTATTAATGAACAGTAAACATCAATAATAGATCAAATACTATTCCCAAAAGTACAACTTCTGTCTTTCTCTCTCTCATCTCATCTTAAAAATAAATTTTAAACCTATAAAAATCTGCTGATAAATGTTATAACATTTAATGCACAGTATTCAAGAGACAATTAACTGTAGGATTTAGTTCTTCAGATACGAGATATATATTTCAAATAAAAAAAAAATAAAAAAAAATAGAGAATTTTATGAAAATCGTTTCAAAACTGCAAAGATAAATGATTACGTAAACATAACATTTATAGGCCTTGTCTAAAAAATTTCAACTAGATGAAAAAAAAGGTTCCATATTTCTGAATGTTAAATTCGTAGAGATATTTCGAAACGAATTTATTGATTTAAGATCACTTTTCAATACTTAAGGATAGAAATTCGCAACCAAACTTAGGCAGTAACTACAAAATATAGGTAGCTATCCTGGGCAACTGATGTTTCGGTATTTTTCAATAACGGTTCAAATCTATTATCTGAAATTCTTATTCGGAATAACAGATTTTTAACGATTATGAATTATAGTATGCTACTAGTGAATCGAATTATTTGCATATGATTTAGCCTACAACAGCATAATATCCGAAGCAGCGATATATTGATCAGTGTTATAATATGATAGTACCACATTTAATTAAAGCATAACGCTCATAAACCTTTTCTCAGCACCAATAAGTGCTAACCAGCAATTACATGAATAATTAATATATTATTTTTAATATATCAGCTGATATAAAAAATACAATCACTATTACAAACATCCACGACTGTGGATGTTCATAAAATTTTTTACTATTCTTTTAACTCAAGCTCTATTCGCTTGCAAAAATTTTTATAGATAGAGAATGTTTACATAATTTCCAATTACTATTTTTAAAATAATTTATTGCTATAATAACAAAATAATATATTATTTGATTTAAGATTTGGAACTCATTTATTCTTAAAATTGTTAGCGTTTAATTTTATTGGTAAAAATTAAAATTATACGTGAATAAACCAGCTACCTGATTATTTCTCAGATTTAGAAAATAAATAAATAAATGTACAAATTATATAAATTCATGGAAATTTGTGCTAAAACATTTTGTATACAAATCATAAATTACACAACAGCGCCAAAAATAAAAATAGACTTACGTATGAGAAAAAGCATATTAAAAATCGACGTTTTTTCATCGTTTGTTTTCTCGCTGTCCAATATAATCGCAAATGTCAAATGCAGACAATGGAAAACGGGACGAATATGAATCACACCGAAGTAACCCACGTTTCTGGTCTGCTTAACAAGCGTAAATGGAACTGGTCTTAGTATATCGAACGATTACGCAAAAAGCGAAAAAAAGTGAAGGGAAATTACCCTTCAAAAAAGAAAGGAATGCAAGGCGAGAAAGAAATATTTTATAAATGGTAATCGATATTTCTACGACATATACATGAAACTTTACTTCATCTGAGTCTTTGACAGCCATACGACAAAGATTTCAAATTCTTTTTACATGCTGAATCATTTTAGGACGGTGGTTCTTTTTTTTTTTTTTTTTTTTTTAAATTATATACTCTCTTGGCAGCTTATTTCCATAAATTTCAGCCTTTATATTAGCAAAAAGTTTGCAGTGTCATTTAATAAAATTGCTTATTATGTTGTAACTATATATACAAGGAGCTCGGCAGTAGTAATCTCAATATTTTTAGCACGGAACTTACCATAATTTTCCAAAATAACAAAATAGGGGAACAGGGCTTTCTTCGGCTTTAAATAATGTATTAAATCCGTTATTCATTACAACATTCAATTAATTTAACAGACTTTGATCCTTAGATTCTTGGCGTATATGCCATTCTCGTCATAATTTAACTTCGTTTTTCATTACTTCGTTTTGCAATAATATCGAAGTCCATAACTAGGTATCCCAGCTTTCAAACAAATCTTTTGCATCGCAGTAATGCCTCGTGTTTTGAAGGTAAGTTACGCAGATTTGGGCTGTCTAAATGCAATGGTTCCTCATTTTTCGCGACGTATATGCATGTAGTCATACTTTAACGCAATCCACAAGCTAAAATTACACTTGAAGGGGGGGACAAAAAAGGAAGGGGGAAGGAAGAGGGGATAAAACAATAATAGCAAATCAATAATTAACTAATAAAAACATAAAATTAATTAGCAATTATTGATATATGCATAACTGGCAAAAAAAATCTCTCGCCGAAAATCATCACCCAGTGCACAGATTAGAACTCACTGGTATAACTGATTATTACTTATTTAACTCGCAAATCTTAAGAAAACTACGAATTAATAAAATTCCCTTAGAAAGTGAAAAACCTTGAGGCGTTGTGATATGGCTGCTATAAATTTAAAAGAGGTAGGGCGATCTAAGTTTTAAAAATTAAGCAAAACTTGGCTGGATAATTTGCTTCAAGCATGCTGACTGTCTACAAAGTCTCTGAAATTTACTCCATTATTGTACGCACTCTGTAAGAGGAAGAGCAGTAAATTTTTGTGGTGTTTTTATATTTAAATCAAAGATTTATTCCTAGCAATTTGTTTCCGTTTAGTACACACATTGTTGAGTTTAATGTGTTAAGCAATCATCCAAAATGTCTTAAATCTTGGTAGACGTTAAGGGAATCATCGCTAAGTAACGAATGAAACTTGGGAAAGGCGTAGAAGACTTTTTATTAAAACTAAGTACAAACAGAAGGCACACTTGCGCTCACAACTCAGCCAACCACTTGCGGCAAGATAACTTAAAGGAACACAAGTTAAACGTAAAATTTAAATTCAAATAAATTAGACGAAGGCTACACAATCAATTTAACGCAAAGTTGGCTCAGAAATTAACCGGCGTGGAGTTCAACAATCGGAAATTATAATACAAGGGCAAAGACAAGAACTCTTATCTAAGATAGGAACCTAGTAACGTGGCCTAGTAACTAGTAAATACACAAGAACTAAATTTGTATTCTGCCGGGAAAATGGAAAGAGAGAAGTGACAGTACAGATCCAAAACATAAAAATAACTGATTAATTAACATCAAGGAACCTCAAACATAATGCGAGATTTGGGGATCCGAAAACTTACATATCACAGGGCAGAAAGCGGGACAGCTCGAAAGTGAATGTTTGGACTGGGATGCTACATAACAAGAGTGAAT